TCTCTCTCTCTCTCTCTCTCTCTCTTTCTTTCTCTTTTTCTCTCTCTGTCTCTCTCTCTCTCTTTCTTTCTCTCCCTCTCTATCTCTCTTTCTCTGTTTCTCTTTCTCTGAAGACTCTTAATTATGATAATGCAATTTTTGCATTGTATAATTGACTAATATGAATTAATAAAAAAAAAAAATTTTTCTTTAATAGTGATAAAAAGCTTTTTTTTTTAGTCTGCTATTACATACACAAATACTCTTATAGAAGTTACATATTTCATACAAGCTTTACAATTACAATGGCGAATGTCATATAAAAGAAATAGATTTATTGTGTTTAAATTAAATAATTTACGCTGTAAATAAAATATTATAGCAGATGTGCAATGCTATTTTTTGGAAATGCTAAAAATATATTTCGTGTACATTAATGCATTTTATTAAGTAACGCTTCGATAAAACATCTTTATTTTTGTTTCAAAGTTAACAGATTTGCAGCTGCGCAGATGTAATAATAAAAAAAAAAAAAAAAAGAAAACTATATTTCAGTTGGGGCAGAGAACCACACTGCCGAATATAGATACATTTCCATACATATAGATTTTTTTTTTTTTTTTATGTAAATCCTGCTAAACAGTACTCGCCTCGGTACTTGTTCTTATACTCAAAGCTTCTAATTCTTTCCCGTATGATTAAATTCTAATTGGACGTACAAAACGTCAGACGACTTTTGCTACGTGTGACGAAGAAGTTACACATTTGTTTTCACGTCATTCGTCATGTAATACGGAGAGATTCGCGTCACAAAATTATCTTACTTCGTTCCTCACTTGAATTATCACATTCTCAGCGTTAAGATCTGAGAACCTTCCGATCAGTAGATCTTTGAATTTATTTCGAAGATCTTTTAGCAGCAATTTTGGATAATCAAATTTCTCAAATTCCAGTTTCGTGAATTTCTTGTATCCTTAAACATTATAGATCTTTAAAGGGTCTTCTACAATAAGATATTAGTAATAAATCAGAAGTCAGAAGCAAATTGACCAATCACAATCGATTATTCTTCTGTGATTTGTGATTGGTCAATTTCTTGCTTCTAACTTCTGATTTATTACTAATATCTAATTGTAGAAGGCCCTTAAAGATTCTAAAGTCTGCGAATTACAATTGTTTATATTTTTGCGATTTAAAATTTCTTTCCAAAAAATTATTTTGTTTTCTATTTGTTTAGTGTGAGATATTTAGACGAAATAGTTTGTTATCAACAAACATACAGCTACTCACACAAAACATACAAATCTTATAAACGTCTGATGTAAATATTTAATAAATGTTATGTATGTACGAGTACATTTTTTGAGTGTGTCTAGTTTTAGATAAATTTTTTTTCTCACAAAAATAAATCATAAATCTCATAAAAATAAAGGTAATGTGTTTTCATATTGCTGAACTATAGGATTTGTTAATTTTTGGATGCTAATATCTTCATGTTCTTAGAATCTCTAGATTTTTTTTCAAGAGGTAAAGATTTGTGTATGGTCTTAAATTATTAGATTCTTAAAGGAATCTAGATATTATTGAGAATCTAGATATTATTCGTTTCTCATATCCTCCTCTTTTTCTTTCTCTTTCTCCTTCTCCTTTTCCTTCTCTTCTTCCTCCTTCTCCTCCTCCACCCCTCTCCCTCCTCTTCCTCCTCCTCCTCCTCCTCCTCATCTTCCTCCTCCTCCCTCTCCCTCTTTTTCTACATTTTAGGATTTTCAATTCTTGGAATACTTCAGTTTTCAAATCTTTCAAAATCAGAACTTGTGTTTCTAATGTTCTCGTTGTTTGATTCTCTAATAGTCAAATCCTAACAATACTATAGATTCTCCGATGCTGAAAGTCCGGTATATTCTTGGGAGATTTCACGATTTCCGCATCCGAAAAGCTATAGATCCTTGAATTTGAATCCTTGATTTCCTGAATGCTCGCGTCCTCCCAATTTCCGAACTTCTAAGCTCTTTTCTCGGATTCTTAGAATTTTCGAATCCTCGGATCGCAAACCACACGTCCTTGGATTTTCAAGGAGCCTGTCTTCTTCATTTTCTAATAGTCGACGCGATTTTTTCATCGCGATACGTACATGGTGGATCTTTTCTTGTGTTCTAAACTGGAAGACCAACATCTATCGCGAAGAAGGTCTTTAAGCGCTGACGCCAATTATGACACCGCCGCTTCCGGGAAGACCGGTTTCTCCCATCAGAGCCAAATCGATCTCCTTCGCGGCCAATCGGCCTTCGGTGATTGCCCAGACCACGAGGGACTGTCCTCGTCTGCAATCTGAAGTGAAAAGTATACGTAATAACACACAAATTTCTACACACACAAACATATTTACATCACAATAAATACTAACCGCCTGCCGCGTACACTCCGGGTATACTAGTGCGATATTTTCCGGCTGGTGTTTTGTAATTTCCTCTTTCATCTAATTCGATGTTCACCTCTGTGGCAATATATTTTTCGGGCCCGAGAAAGCCCATGGCGAGGAGTACCAGATCGCACTTGTAGACCTTCTCCGAATTCGGCACTTCCTCCATCTTCCATCGGCCGTTCTCGTCCTTTCGCCACTCAACGGACACCGTCCTGATGCCACTTACATGACCTTTTCCGTTGTCTAGGAATTCTTTGCTGAGTGTGCTATATCTGCGCGGGTCTCGGCCGAATTTTAAAGATACTTCCTCGTGACCGTAATCGACTTTGAACACTCGCGGGAACTGAGGCCATGGGTTATCCTTGCCTCTGCGTTCCGGCGGTTCCGGCAGAATTTCGAATGTCGTGATTGTCTTCGCGCCTTGACGTAATGAAGTTGCTATACAATCGCATCCGGTGTCACCACCGCCTATGATGACAACGTCTTTGTCCTTGGCTATCAGTCGCATGTCGAGCGGTGCCATGTTGCCCATTTGTTTTTTCTGCCAGTGCTCCAGGAAGCTTACAGCAAAATGAATTCCCTCCAATTGTCGGCCGGGAATAGGCAGATCGCGCGGCCATGTCGCGCCTGTAGTTAATAATACCACATCGTTTTCTTCTCGAAGATCCTGCAGCAATGTATGACGTGCGATTGAGTTTTGCAGGCAAGTATCGCATAAGAAAAAAAAAACTTTTGTCAAATGGACACGTAAAAACGTCGCATTTACCTGCACTGTAATGTCTTTGCCGACGTCGACGTTTGTCCGGAAGATAATTCCTTCCGCGGCGAGAAGAGAGACTCTTCTCTGAACGACCTGTTTGGACAGCTTCATCGTCGGTATGCCGTACTGCAACAGTCCGCCGATCCTATCGTTCCTCTCGAACACGGTTACTGTGTGACCCGCCTTGTTCAGTTGATGAGCCGCAGCCAATCCCGCGGGACCAGATCCTACCACAGCGATTTTTTTACCGGTTCGCCTGGTAGGCGGATGAGGAACGACCCAACCTTCTTCAAACGCGTGATCGATTATCGCACACTCGATATTCTTGATCGTTACTGGCGGCTCGGAGATCCCCAAAACGCATGCGCCTTCGCAAGGCGCGGGACAGACTCTTCCAGTGAATTCTAATAATAACGAATAGTTTTATCAGAGAACTAACTGTTCTCTGTTTTATCAGAGAACTAACCTAACACAACTGTTTATATATCTATGTCATTGGTTTGTGAAGAGAACGACTTTATCAAAGTTGAGAGAATCAAAACTTACGTAAAAAAAAAAAAAAACGAAGTTTTCATCAAATAACTCACCTGGAAAATTATTAGTCTGCAGCAATTGATTCAGCGCCTCCTTCCAGTTCTGATGGAATACCAGATCGTTCCATTTCGGAATGATGTTGCCCAACGGGCAACCGTGACTGCTCTGACAGAACGGAACGCCACACTCCATGCATCTCGCCGCTTGCACTCGCAGGGTCTTCCTAACACCCTGGAAGTTGTAGATCTCGTCCCAGTCTTCTACGCGCTTCTCAACCGGTCTGTACATCGCTTTCTGCCTCGAGTACTTCATGAAGCCTTTGATCTTGTCAAGTTTGCGCTGCGCCATATCCGCGTCTTCTATCGAATCTTCTATGTCCTTGATTTTGCCGTTCGTTATTTGCGCGTTTCCGTTAATGATATGCGTCTGCTGCTTCGCTTCTTCCAACTGTTTGAGAGCTCTCTGATACTCGTACGGGAAGACCTTGACGAATCTTGTGGTTGGTTCCGGCCACGTAGCAAGCAAGTCTTGCGCGATCAGCGAGCCGGTCTTCTCGATGAATTCCTCCAGCAACTGTTTCACGTAGGCAATGTCGTCGGGTTTGTCGAGCGACAGCAACTCCACCATTTCGGGATTACATTTGCTCTTGAAAGAACCGTCCACGTCCAAAACGTACGCGATTCCACCGGACATTCCGGCCGCGAAGTTTCTGCCGGTGAGACCGAGGATCAAGGCGCAGCCGCCGGTCATATATTCGCAACCGTGATCACCCACACCTTCCACCACGACGACCGCTCCACTATTGCGCACGCTGAATCTCTCGGCAGCGATGCCGCGGAAATACGCCTTTCCGGAAGTGGCACCGTACAGACAGACGTTTCCAACGATCACGTTCGCCTCCGAGTTAAATTCGGATTCTTTTGGCGGATATATAATGATTTCACCTCCGCAAAGGCCCTGCAAGTTAAAAAATTATATTTATTTTGCGTGGAAGAACAATTGAATAATATTGCAATTAAACTTGTGATATTCGAAAATTTATAATAAGAAGAAAATTATGTATCTTTGTTGCAAATTTACTTAAGTTTAAAAGATCTAAGATGTATTTTTACCTTGCCGACGTAGTCGTTGGCATCACCTTCAAGGGTAACGTGAATACCCTTCGTCATGAAAGCGCAAAAGCTTTGACCCGCAGATCCCTGCATCTTGATGTTGATACTATTTTCGGGTAATCCATCTTCTCCAAAACGTCTGCAAACGAACATTGTAGAAACGATAAGTAAAAATAAAAAAGATAGAGATTTATATTTGTGAACAATATAAAAATCATTCAACATCCTTCAATGATGTAAACGAAGAAAAGTAATGAAATAAACTAACTTGGCTATGTGATAACTCAGCGTCGACCCAAACGCCCTGCACTCGTTGTTAATGTTCATCTCGATGTCGACTCGAACTTGCTTTCCGCTCAAAACGGGCTCGGCTAGTTCGATCAGTTTATTGTCAAGTCTGTTTTCCAGCTGGAAGTCCTGCTTCAAGGTGCCACCTTTAATGTTCACACCTGGTCTCAAGTCCAGCGCGTTTCGCAAAATGTTGCTGAGATTTAGAGTTTTGGCTTTTTCGACAGTAATGTCGTCGCGCACTTTAAGGAGATCCGTGCGTCCGATCAAGTCTTGGAACTTGCGAATGCCCAGACTGGCCATGTGCGAGCGTACCTGCAAAAATGTTCGAAAAATAATTTTATAAAAATTGCTTCAAAATTATGTGTATAAAAATACTTAAAGACCATCGCCTTCATCATCACATACTTCTTCAGCGAGCGCGAAGAAGAAGTTGATCACGTGCTCCGGCTTGCCTTCGAATTTCTTTCGCAGCACCGGATCTTGCGTGGCGATGCCCACAGGACAGGTGTTCAGGTGACACTTTCTCATCATGGTGCAACCCATGGCGATCAGCGGAGCGGTGCTGAAACCAAACTCGTCCGCTCCCAGCAATGCCGCTACCACGATGTCGAAACCCGTGCGTAACTGACCATCCGCCTGGACGATCATGCGCGATCTTAGATTGTTTAGAGTTAGCACTTGGTGTGTCTCAGCTATGCCCAATTCCCAGGGCAATCCGGCGGACTTGATGCCAGTCCAGCTGCTGGCGCCGGTGCCACCATCGTGGCCGGATATCACCACGTGTTCGGCCTTACCTTTGGCAACGCCGGCGGCGACAACGCCCACTCCGACTTCGGATACGAGTTTGACGGAAATACGTGCGTTCGGATTGGCACACTTGAGATCGTAAATCAGTTCGGCCAGATCCTCGATCGAATAGATATCGTGATGTGGCGGCGGCGAGATCAAACCGACCCCGGGCACCGAGTGCCTAGTGGCGGCGATTTCTGCGGTAACCTTGTAACCGGGCAATTCGCCGCCTTCGCCTGGTTTCGCGCCCTGTGCCATCTTGATCTGTAGATCGTCGGCATTCGCCAAGTAACTGGCGGTCACACCGAAACGACCGCTCGCAACTTGCTTGATAGACGAGCGTTTGTTGAACTCCGGATCTTGATTCAGGTATCTGTTGAATATTGACAATCAAGTTAGCTGACGATATGATATTATGCTGATGATAATTATTAGACGCAATAATTAAAAAATCGTTTCGATTCATTAATCGTTAGATAGATTTTTTCTTTTTTTATACCTGTCCGCGTTTTCGCCGCCTTCGCCGGTATTGGATTTGCCACCGATGCGGTTCATAGCAATTGCCAGAGTGGTGTGAGCTTCCATAGAGATACTGCCGAAGCTCATCGCGCCGGTAGCGAAGCGTTTCACGATTTCTGACGCGGGTTCCACCTCCGCAATGGGAATTGGATCGCGCGACTTCTTCAGCTCGAGCTGGCCGCGCAACGTGCAAGCCTTCACCACTTCCATCGTAGTTTTGCTGTAATTCTCGTAAGCCGAATTGCTCTTGGAAACAACGTAGTCCTGACGACAGGAAGACAATTGTGAAATACTTTAGTATATGTGGTCTCTTTATTGACGTTGCAACCAAATGTGTGTGTGTGTGTGTACTAACAAGTATTTTTCTTACCTGTAAACTAGCGATGCTAGCTGGATCATTGATGTGTTTTTCGCCTCCTGATCGCCAGTGATAAATTCCGGGATTGCGAATGACAAACATATCCATGGGTTTGTTCCAGTACGTTATTTGATGTCGCTCGAATGCTTCTTTGCCCAAAATATCAAACGTCACGCCACCGATGCGAGATTGAGTACCCTGAAAAAAATTGATCCGCACACATGATTGTGATTAATAAAGTATTGCGCGTAACAAATCAAGTTAGACGCGACCCGCGTATATCATATTACAAAATTAAAATCACAAAACAATCATTAATTGGATCCATTTTTTTAATCATCTGCACATTAGGACGTGAATGCGATTATAATTTTTTTTTTTTTTTTTTGTTGAGACACGAAAACTGTACCTTGAAGCATTTATCGATGACTTCGTCGGCCAGTCCGACCGCTTCGAATATCTGCGCCCCTTTGTAAGATTGCAGAGTCGAGATTCCCATCTTTGCCATTACTTTTGCGATTCCTCGTTCTATAGCCTCCGCATAATTCTACGATTTAAAATTGAATAATTAAAGCGCGTTTTTTTTTGTTTTGAGATTCTAAAACAAATTAACTTTAAATAAAATTTAAAAGATTTACCTTGTAAATAACGTCGTCGGTAAAAGTCTCATCAAAAACGCGATCCGCCCTCAGATTTTTCGCCATCTCGAATACTAAGTAAGGACATATGGCATCTGCTCCGTAACCTAGTAACACGCAAATGTGATGAACTTCGCGAGCTTCCGCGGTTTCCAAAATAAGGCCGACTTTCATTCGTTGTCTCTCTTCGATCAAATAGTGATGAACACCACCCAGAGCCAATAGACTGCTAACCGGAACTCTGAAAAAAAAAAAAAAAAGACAATTCGATTTGTAAGTCACATATTCTTTTGTTTCGAGATCGTCGGAGAATTGTCTCAACATAATTTTAATCCGCAAGTTCACAGCTCACCTTGACGGACCACCCAGTCGGTCGGACAGCACGAGCAATTGATAACCGTCTCTGGCAGCAGCATTAGCTTCGCTGTTAACGCGATCCAACGTCTTCAACAATCCACCAGGTCCCTCTTCAACGGGATAAGTAATATCGATCACTTTTGTTCTCCAATCGCGATGAGTCGTGCGCTTGAGAACCTCGAGATCGTCCAAGGATAGTATCGGTTGCGGCAGGAACAAGCGATGCACTTGTAACTCACTCGGTTCCAGAATGTTACTCTCAGGCCCGATTGGACAAAGCATCGACATTACGATCTTCTCGCGGAACGGATCGATCGGCGGATTGGTCACCTATTAATATAACAGATATATCGAAAAATAGAGATTAATTGAAATTCTTTATTATTATTATTATTTTTTTCTTTCTTTTCGCGTTGATTCGCCGACTTCAAGCTCGAAAGCAAATTTACCTGTGCGAATAACTGCTTGAAATACTCGTACAACAAAGGTTGAAATTGCGACAAGCACGCCAGAGGAGCGTCATTGCCCATAGATCCTAACGCTTCTTTTCTGAAAGAGATTATCGTTGTTCGGGGACATTTATCGAGGGGAGAGAAGTTACGAATATAACGTTACACGTGAACAGCATGAGAAATTAATTTAGCAACGAAGAATGCAAATTTTGAAAGAAAATAAATTCGGAGTCGATATAAAAGAAATTTACTGATGAAATTTTACTGACGCACGTACTTGGTTTGCACCATAGGTAAAAGCAGCAAGTTGATGGTTTCCAGAGTGTAACCGTAAAGTGAGAGCCGTTTATCGCCGCTCCAAACTTTATTCACAGCCGAAATCTGACCGTCCTTCTCGCCCTCGTCCTCGTTGAAGGCGTTCTTTATCGCGACGGTTGTCTCAGCAGACAGATTGTTCTTGATCACGTTCTCCGTATTGCCGTTGATAACGTGCGCGGCACGCAATTCATCCATAGTGATCTGAATTCGTAAGAAAATAACATTGCCAAAAACTGTCGCGGATGAAGATATATTTTTTCTTTTTTTTTTTTGTTTTTCAAATTGCGCACACAAACAAAATCGAAGAGCAGCAAAAATAAAACAAAAAAGAAGCTTTGAGAAATCGAGCATAAAGAGAGAAGAGAATTTTCTAGAAATTACATATTTAGAATTTATTATAAAAAGATAGAGAAGTTAATTAACTATATTAAATTACCAAAATAGAGCGAGAGAGAAGAAGAAAGAATAAAGAAGAGAATAAAAGAGAAGCGTTTCTTATTTAACAGCTTTCCGAGATTGATGATCTCCTTAAGCGCAACAAGAGAAGAATAATAATACAAACAATAAACAAATAAAAAGCATAAACAAAATATTACAAGTGCAAACAAAAAGAAGATAAAAGTATCAAAAAAGTGATAGAGAGAAGCAAAAATTAATGTAAAGAACATAGAAAGAGAGTAGCAAAAAGTAACGAATGTAAATAGATCGATTTTTACAGAGAAAAGGGAGTTGTATCTGAAATATTTCTATTTGCAGAAGAATACTGCAATTGTTTTTCGTACTATCTATATTGTCACACTCTACCGCTACGTGTGTACAAAAAAAAAAAAAATTAAAAATTAATTTCTACAATGCTCCCTTGTATCTATACTACATCCCATTTACATAAGGAAAGAACACACACTCATAATGATATATGATTGGAGCGACTCACCCTCTGTACATACGGCGGTAACATCAATGCGCACAGCAATGCGAAAAAAGTTATTTTTTTTATATTAGAATTGTATCTTTCAAGCGGACAATTGATAAATTTCAGCATGAGTTTTAAAAGCGATTGGTGGTTATTGCATTGTTTTTAATCACAAAAAAAGCTGACAAAGTTATTGTTGTGAGTCAGACAAATTGATGACACACAGATCTCTGAGAAAAACAAATTTAATAATCGAACTCGAGAAAGCACGTTTTTACCTGTTCCTTGAGCCATTTGGAGTGGGGTCTGCTTCGAGCGATCTGCAACTTGAGCTCGACATCCTGTATAATCCTCTTCTCTTCCGTGTCAACGAGAAGCATACGGCCGGGCTTCAAGCGGCTCTGCAAATAAAAAAGTACACCAATAATCGCCATAGAACGGGTTCGACACGTCGATGATCGACATTCATATGACAGCACTGGATGACGGTCCTACAGCTCTATACAAACCTAGTCCCTAGATGACAAATTATACATCATACATGATACATGATCAAAAAATAAATAAAATACGATATATGTGATTAGCTATTATACATGTACACTAACATACAGCGGACGTATTTGCGGATCGATCGATGACAGTCTGCCCTTACCGAGGCCTTTTGTCTTTGGCCGTCGCGCTATCGATGCGCCATCATCAAATCCAGAAATGCGTTTAATTGCGTTTCCGCAATTTTTCTTCGTAAAAAAAAAAAGAAATGAAAAAAACCTTTTGCGCGCAAACTGCATTTGAGGATTGATTGATGTTGTATTAATTAATAAAGGCAGAATGCCAGTACATTTATATTATGTTTTTGGCAATATTTGAGATCTATCGAGTTCGCACAAAATCGTCTGACAAACATTATCATATGTGTTTCAGTCTCGCCCGCATAGATAAAACATCATTTATCGGATTATTCGCAATGTGCGTGTACTTATGTGAATTATAACTCTGTGCTCTGAGAGAACGCTTGTTGCTTCCGGCAAGTAATAATTCCAACGTATCGTAAATAAGCAATGTATTATGTTAGACGTAGATGAAAAAACGATGATAAAAATGATTCAATGTGTAACAAATCGCATGATGGTGCTTGCATCCCAGAACGAAGACGCCATGGATTTCAAGAGCCTGGTAAGAGGACGTAACATACAATACAACCAAGAACGCACATGATCAGCAATTTGTATAACCAAAAGATCTCTGGAACTCAAAATATTCGCACATAAGCATGCAACTATTAAGCCTAAAAATGTGCATTCTTTCGCGGAACCAACAAGCTACTTGAGAGAGAATCTTCTTCAGTAACGATAACAACAATTCTTTGATTTTTTGATCGTCCGATAAATAAAGTTTTTATTTTTTCTCTGATGAGAAAATCAGCGGGAGATTAAAGCAGAGATTGTCGTGATACAAATTATAATAATCAGTCGACGAGACAAATGCGAATCGTCGAGAGATATGACGTGTACCGATGATGGCGAAAAGGCGGCGAGAGCTGCTGTCGCGAAGAGAACTCTCAATATCGAACATCTCTCTGTAAAAACAAATCAAGTCTAGACTGATCGACATGTGTGTCGTCCACTGATAATCATTGAGAGCCACTCTCCTGAACAGCAGAACTCTCAAGTAGCAATTAAAAAGTACAAGGCGAGTGCGAGATCGAGTCATCGCCTTTCGATTTGAAAAAAAACGCGCAAGTAATGTTTTTGTACAATTTGTAAAAGATTTTCATCGCGTCCCGTGACATCGGCATAAAAGAGATCCTTGGCCAGAGGAAGAATCCAAACTTATCTCCGGGAAGACACTAAAGGGTCTCTACTTCTTGGTCAGTCTTCTCTATAGCTGAAATTGCTTAAAATTTTGGGGGGAAGAATTGTAGAGAAAAGGCGGATAAGAGAAAAAAGGGCAGATGGGGAGAAAAAGATTGAGCATACAGGGAATGATTCGCCGGTAAATCATAAATGCTGTGAGTTAGCTGTCTCCGCCTCAGACAGAGAGAGGGATCCCCGTGGATACGGCTGGTGCTTGGGATGCGCTTATTTCCTTCGTTTACCTTCAGGACTACATTGCTGGGCGGAGTATCATAGACGCCCACTTCGGACGCCATCACCATCACGTTATCCTTAGTGACGTAGAAGCGCGACGGGCGCAGGCCGTTTCTGCCAAACAAAAATTCAAAAAGGTCTTTTGTATTTCACACCACCTCTGTGTCTTGCGCTAGGTATCAGCTGAGTGAACTACATTGCTGTTCGTTCGCTTGCCTGCCTTCCTTGCTGGCTTATACTCGCGTTATAATCTCTCTTTTTTTCGTTCTCTAAAAAATCATCTCACTTCCTTTCTCTCGCTCGCTCTCTCTCTCTCTCTCTCTCTCGCTCTCTCGCTCTCTCTTTCTCTCTCTCTCTCTCGCTCGCTCGCTCGCTCTGTTGGCCTAATTTACCTGCGTTAGCAGCACGTTGGGATAAACGATGGACACTTTAGCAAACCGTAAACATCGATTCTCTTTTCTCTCTCTTGTTTTTTTTTTGGCTGTACAGAGACGTGGCAAGAGGAAGTCGAACGAGAGAAATTAGTTTGACAGGTATTTTTACGTTTTTAGGTATTATTTGTCTTTTATATTATATTTTTATTATATTTCACGAGTTTTTACGGTTCAAGTTCTTTTACTTTGTGTTTGTACATTAGTCTAATTTCTACATAACTTCGCACGTGTTTAAATTTTGCTCACAACGATTTTGTTAAGTACGCGCATTACACAATTGAAAATTTTTGAACTTTCATCAATCTATTCTACATTTAAAAAATATCCTTAAATATCCTTTTGAAATTCTTTCGAACACAATTTGGATAATATTAATTAATAATTAATTATATCGTAATTAGCATGCTTTTCTGTTCTCACAATATACTTAACCCTTTGTGAGCAGACTGGGTCTCCCAGACCCATTCAAAAATTTCAAATCGGTGTCTTTTAGTAAAAGTTAGTTTTTTTAACTAGAGATTTTTTCAATTTTTACGACTGACGCAGAATCGTTCAATCATTCGATTAAAAAAAAAAAAAAACATTGACAAAATATTAATTTTTCGCGGAGATATTTGATTTTAAAAGTCGCGTGGGTCTCACAGACGCACCGATATGTCCAACTAGCAGACGTTTTTGGAGTCTGTCCACGAAGAGTTAAGTAAATTCTTTTCTTTTTTTTATAAAAAATAACACTTTTTTTAAATAAAATAACCTAACAGCCCTAGTTATTAAAAAAACGACTCGATTATCTTTTTTCATAAAGCGTCTTTCTCTCCACGTCATTTATATATATATATATGTATGTAACAGTTTACAACTATAAAACTGTGTTTTGCAAATGTTCTATTTCGTTCGAATCGCACGACTTCCTCTTGTCTTGGAAATCCATGTTTACCTGTGCCCCGCGCGAGTATATCTCTATATACACCGTGCGTACGTGTGTGTGCACCGTTCTCATATATATTTTATGAGCACCCGTTAATCCTGCTGAATGCGTCTTGCAAAGCGTAGGCAATACGCCCACGACGCAGCCTAGCATTCTTTCTTCGCGGCTCCCCTAACAAACGACATCGCAGAGTCCTTTCGTTCGTCTTATTTCTCTGTTTCAATAGGATCCTTTCGACACTCTGAATGCCATCTCACAATTCAACTCCTCGCGCGTCTCGCTGCATTGATTTTTACATTGCGCGAGCTATTCTCTCCAAAGACTTTTTTCTCAACAGCAATAAAATACATTTCCACGGCGTAATGTGCGCAATGAGAATGCTATGTAGAAAAAAAAAAACGCGCGCGCGACAAACAAATAAAAAAAAAAAAAAGGGAAAGAAAATACTTGCTACAACGCAAGCTTTGTCACTGCGCGAGGAGTCGATTTGATCGCGTGACCTTTTACAATTTTCATTCCGTATGTTTATTCTTCACTATCAACGCAAAACTTATTTTCATCGTCGTCGTTCAACTACTTCCGTTTTTTATTTCATGTGAAAAAATGTGAATAGTAGTAAATAACTCTCGAACAAGTTCAAGAAATTATATCGCGATAACACATCGAGGTATATTTTTGCTTGCGTTTAACTTCGCTATTGCGGTATTATTTCTTATAATGCGAAGAATTCACTCGGCTTACCTGTGCAGCTCACAACGTAGATACGTACTATACTTATATTACATGTGTGAATTCTTTTTAAATATTTTCAAAAATCTTTGCGCAACAGCGAAATTAACACGCAATTTTTGTTCGCGTTTTGTGTGTCAAAACACGTCGATAGTCAAGAATTTAATTTACTGCCGCATTTATTTTCATGATGTTAACATTAGTTTCTACATTTCACCGAAAGGTCTAATTGATTGAAAAATCAAATTGTTATTATCAAACAAATCATTATTATCTCACATCGTTAAGATGATTTTTTTTTCTATATCTATAATTCTCTCTTTTTGCGTCACGTTTGTGAAAACAAAAATATTAAATTTACACTACTGAGTGATTCACAACATATATATATATATATATATATATATATTTTTTTTAACAAATTGAATGAGTTCTATAAAAACATTCTATGAACGCAAAGTTTATCGAAACATTTGAACCAAAAATGCAGCATGTGTGCGGCGTCATCGCGAGCAGGAATTCAAAATGTCAAAAGATCTCAACGTGGCGAAGACGCCGTGGATAGGACGAACGAGAGAGAAGTGTGGAGTTCTATACATAAAACGGTGTAATAAACGAAACGTAATGAGGAAGAGAAAATTTCTACCTGTCCAAGATTGCACCGACGTAACGGCCGTCGGTGAAGGTAAGCAGAGCCGGGCCGTCCCAGGGTTCCATGGCGCATGCCGCCCAGTGATAGAAGTCGCGCTTGTCGGTGACCATGGTCAGATCATTTTGCCAAGCCTCCGGTACCATCGTCATGACAGCCTGGATTCAGTTCATATTGACAGTTGAAGCGTAATGTTCAAGAACCGAAATGTTTGAAACCGAGAAGCTGTCGAGAACTTTTTAAGAGGATCGTAAACGCACGACAATTTACCAGGAATCAACCTGGAGGATTTTATAATGAAGTGGACATATGTTCATACTTCAGATTCGTGTGTAGAGTCGAGTGTTTTTATTAAGAATAAATTTACCTCGGGCAAGGAACGATGTCCCGCCATCACCAAAAATTCGAGCACGCAGTCCGCCGATCCGGAATCAGACAGGTTCGGTTCTACGACCGGATAGAGCAATTTCAGCTGATCGCCGTATATCTTGCTGCTCATTACACCTTCCCGCGCCTTCATGAAGTTCACATTGCCGCGCAGAGTATTGATTTCACCGTTGTGAGCGAGAAATCTGTCGGGACACACACGCACACACAAACACACGAGTTATGTATTGACGCTCACTCGTTTGCGTTGTTGAAACAAAGGTGATTAAACGACACAGACACACGTGACACTTCAATTAACGCGATAGCAAATACTGAAATAGTAATTGTTCTTCTTTTACAATACGAAAGAAAGAGAAATCTTTGGACGAAAATAGATATTACACTGAAAATAAACACAGCGACTACTTTAACACGTTGATCTTATTCGACAAAGAGGCGTGTCGAAATAAAAAGCTCTTTATCTTTCAGTGTTGTTTAGAACGCGATGATCCGCGTAGAAAATAAATTGTGCGAGTTTACATAACGGTTGTGAAAAAAAAAATTCGAAGAAAACAATGATTTTCCATATCTCTCTGTTTTGTTTTTTTTATCGCGATTCTCGTCAAATTGCTGCTAATTCTCGTATATTTTATATTTCTTTGTTTATTACTCCTCGAGACAAGCACGATTGTATAACATCGTGACGAACAAGACAGAAAACAAGTTGAAGTTTTTTTCTTCGTACATCATATTGTGCGATAACGCGACTCCGCGACGAATGAGCACAAATGTTTATTCGTATATTAAAAACGCAATTAATTACGGAGTGAAATAAAAAGCAGGCCGGTTAATTAATTAACATGACGTAATCTTATCGCGATAAGATTTTTGTCGGAGTCAGTTGTGCGGCAGCTTACCGTAAAGGATGCGCTCTCTCCCAACTTGGAAATGTGTTGGTGGAAAATCGCGTGTGCACCAGCGCCAGATAGGTTTCGAACTTCGGAGACTGGTTTTTCAAAAAAAGAATTGAATGAGTTTCAACACCTCGTTAATAATAACATGGTTGTCACGATTTTACACACATTTTATGACTTCCTCAGACAAATTTTTGTCTGCGGAAAGAAAAAAAAACATTAATTTAATGCGGAAATAATTTGAATTTACCGTCAAATCCGGGAAATACAACCATAACTGATCAGCGGTAAGCTGACCTTTGTAGACGACGATTTTCAACGACAACGAGCAAATGTAGTATCGCAGTCCCGGTCGCGGTATCGAGTGGGACGATCTCTTCCTCAGGACGAATATCTGCGACGAAAACAGAAACATACGAGTTCGAGAATGTGTTATTAAAGACTGATCAAATAAAGATCCACGTGTCAACCTTGAAAAACCCGACTCGGTTTGCGACGAGAAACCGAGGTTCTAATTTTATTTATTAAGCCAAGTCGTTTAAGTGCCAAATTGTTCAACTCGCAATACATAAATCTTTATTCTACACATCTCGACTTATTATTTGCCGGAGAGTGCGTACGCGAAAAGTTGTAGTACGTGTTATATAAAATATAGTTTTAACTATCATTCTTTTTCGAACTTTTTATTGCGAGAACCGCGCGAGTAACGTGGCAAAGTGCTAACTAGAACTAGAATTGATGCTAATTGATCTGAGAATTGCACGGCACAATCGTGAGGTAACTCAGCAGTTAAACAAATTACCTGTCGTTTAAGCGTTTCCTCATCTTGATCGCCAGTAACAAACACTTGACGCATATACGGCTCACACTTCCTCGCTACTTGTCCAATCTGGGTGCTATCGGTCGGAACGTCGCGCCAACATAACACCTACAAATCACGCGATTTCATATTCAACAAATACCGCGACGAGAACACGACGAGTTCAAACACTTAATAGCAAAAAAATAAATAAAACGCGCGATGCCGTACTTTCAATTCACATTCCTCGGCTAGCTTCACAAACGCGGCCTCCGCCTCCTTGTGAGTCTTCTTATCGAGAAACAAGATACCGGTGGCGTATCGTCCGAATTCGGGCAACTCGATCTTCTGCTGATTGCTACAATAACGCAATTTACCGAACTTTAGTTTTCTTACGTGTATGATTGATCAGTTAACGTATAATATGTTACAAAAACTCGAATACACTTTGGATGCGTTCGGGGGATCGCGCTATCAGCGCTGTTGCATCATTCTGTCTTTATCGCTCGTTAGAGATGTAAAACAAAGATGGAATGAGCGCTGATAGCGTGCTCTCCGAACGCAGTCTTTGTGTCGATCTTATTTCGAAAGTAAAATCAAGGATTTGTGAAACGCGTTAATCGCATAGAAACTATCGAGATCGATCATCTGGAAAAGAAGAAGAAGAGAACAAAAGGATCTATGACGAGAGAGATTTATGTGCCAAGGAAATGAGAGATCGGGCAGAATGAAGTCTGCGGGAAATAAATTTGTTTGGACAGCGCCGTATTTAGCGCTAAATTACTGAAACAAACAGCTTTGGCTTGGACAGTTAAATTCGATAGGTTTATAAATAAAACTACACTTTAGAAACTAAATTCGTAGTTCCGTCAGAACGAATTAGATTTATGTCGCTTGGAGTGTTGCTCTTACCGAATTTCATTGGCATAGTAATCGTGCGGTATTGCGCAAAGCACACCGGCCCCGTCGCCAGTATCGTTATCGCAGGCGCATGCCCCCCTATGATTCATTCGCGCCGACAATGTCTGAGCATCTTGAACAATCTGAAAATTCGCAGATAACGACATAAATAAATCCGAGGTCCAACACACAGCTTCCTTATCTTTACAAAGACGAATAAAACGAAGTCATTTATAATCTCACTCGGTGTAATCAATGAATCGCTTTAAAGTTATGTATTGTTTTTTTCTTTGTAAAAATTAAGTGTAGATATATATATAAAACAACTTATATTTATTTTTTTGTGATTTATCTAATCTCGGTGTTAGATTTCGATCAACGTGTGTCTCTTCTAATCGTTAGCGAGTCGTATTCCACATTCACGCGTAAAATACGTAACGAAAAAATTCCACGATTCAATTTCTCTTACTTAAAAAAAAAAAAAAAAGAAAAAAAAAAGAAAAAAAAATTTCGAAAAGCACTTAAGAGATGTGTGTTCAACTTAAAAAGAAAAGAAAAAAAAAACAACAACAACACGCGTAGCTTAAAATAGACTCACCTTATGCGACCTCTTTCCATCAATGGCGACGATGAAACCGACGCCGCAGGCCTCTCGTTCGAGCGTAGGGTCGTACAGACCTTGCTTCGGAGGCAAGGTCCACGGCTCGGCAGTCATAATTGTTGAAATCTGAAAGTGTGAGAAAGGTCGTGATAAAACTAAACAAAACGCGTTGTTCCGATCATTGACAGTCGTCGTTTATTGATTTTTTTTTTTTTTTTTTTTTTTTTGTCACCCTCTCTCGATTATTATTCAAGATCCCGATTAACTTCGCGATGTGCGTGTGTGCGAAGTCGTCGATATATTAATTCAATTGCCAGATCGATCGCCAGAGACAGATAGGATGTCCTAGCTGCGCATTTAAAGATATTGCGATCGCGGGGGGGCGGACGTGGCGGGTGAGACGAAGTAAGAGGCAGGTATATCGCGAAGCGTATCGACATTACGTAAAACCGGCTCTCGCGTACGTATCTCTTATACTACGCGGTAACACAGATACGCGACGTCGGCGAACCGCGATGATGACGATCGATCCGTAAACAAAACGAAACGCAAATACATACGTCTCTCTCTCCGAAGAGATCGGGAATCGCGTTCACGTGACTACCCGATGTACCGAGCGTGCTAACGCAGACACGAGGTGACCAAACCGTGTTCCCGAGACTCTCGGTCTTTTTGTCTCTGTCTCTTTTATTTTCTCTTTTAACGATCGATGTTTAGGAATTCACGTCTCTTTGATTATTCCAGAAAAGACTTCCCGGAGCAATCAAAGATTGCTTGTATGAAAAAACCCTTGACTTGTATAAAAAACACTAGGAAAAAAAAAAAAACAGATAAAAGTATGTCATTTCTCTGGTTTTCCATCGAAGTTTCAGTAAATTCGATCCATCGATACATTACGATGCATTTCTGGGATTTGATCGGTGTATATCTTATCGGTCTGATTCGTCGAATCGATTAGCTGATTAAGCGGCTTAGAGTCGTCGTCAGTGAAAACATTCGACGCCAACGAGTTGTGGATATGAACACGCATTGTATGTTGTTCTCTGCATAGTTCTATAGTTCGGAATTCGAGAAACACAGAAGAACGAACGGAGAGATCGATCTTTTATATTTTTGTAATCAACGTATCTGGTGCCTGGCGATACAAAATAACTAACTCGCCGCTGTTTCGCGAAGTGAAAACTCCCACGGAGTAACCTGTCGAACGCGATCCTTCGAATACGCGCCAAAGAATCCGCTGAAAAAGCGACAGCTGGCAAGCTCGAATGAAGGTTGACCACCTCTGGCTCCGACTTGTACCCACGTGCGAAGGAAGCAGAGGAAACGGAGCGGACGATCGATACGACATATACAGGGTGTGTCTGAACGCTACGAGAGAGACTCTTCGTCTTTCCAAAGGATGCTGGATGACGTATATATGGGGATCGATACCGCGCGAAGGATGTAAAGGGCGCGGATATAAATCCTGGCCAGCTGCCAAGAGGCTTTAGATAGTGACGGAAAAAAAAGATACTCGAAAAGTTGTGCTGATAAGGAAAATTTGTATGATATGTACGATCACACAGAGAGAGAGAGAGAGGGGGGGGGGGAAAGCGATAACGTACTATGATTATACACAAATCAGTGTTTAGATAACACTAATCAGAATTTTGGCATTTACTTATCTATACATGTTATGCATATAGCAAACATGTGATAATATTATTACGTTACAATTGATGAATTATTATGTCCGTTCGCTTTACGTGAAAAATTAACGTCAAATAAACGTCATTTTCTTTTTCACGCTTCGTATCATTGTATACACAAATTAATGATCTCTTGCGTCACGACCAAAGTCGTGAAATGTACAATAGAAGCAATCTCCTTCTCTCTAGCTTGTGTGTTACATAGTATAAGAATAAGGAATCCATGATGGTGGGGTTCCAAAATTATCTTCAAGCTATTCCGGGCATTTCGAGAACGGAGGAAGTATGTCCCAACCATTCGTGACAATATCATGGGAATTGCATTACAATCCCAAAATCGAGATCGGCGACACAAGCGGGATTGTGTTCATTCATTCTGCGAATATTTTTCGCTGCGAAAAAAAAGTGTATTTACAGAATGTATTTACAGGAATAGAGCTCGCTCAGTTGTGACTTTCTCGTCGAACAAATTTGTTGCATGTTTTAAAAATTTCAGTCAAAAATATTGTTACACAATTTATATGTAAAAATATATTCTAACGTAAATTCTATAGAAAATTATTATAAAGTGACAAAATCGGAGCAACTTTTAAATTATTTGTTTTGGACTACTTCGTACTGTAACACAAGGTCTTTCATAATATTATATATTTATACTAGTTTACTATTTTTATAAAAAAAAAGATAACTTATTGGCACATTTCGTCACGATTACGGCAACGTATCACCAATTAAAATGCATAAGAACGCATGTCCAACGTGTATATACCTGTTCGTTGTTCTCGTTTTGAGACTCGTTTCTGGGCAAAGCAGTTAAAAAAAAAGAAAATTAAAAAAAACACGCGAGGGGAACGAGCGAAAAAAAGGAGATATATAGAAGAACGTTATATGTCAGGACTGGATTTACTTGTGGGAGAATTCGATACTTTAGCTACCATGTGTGTATAGGGTGTCTCCAAAAAATGCACACATACTTGTTTAGTCAATCTGTGTACGAGTGTAGATCATATTTTTTGAAAGAGATATGTAATGTCTTTTAAAAAAGTATTTTTATTAATTTTCTAAATTTTTTATACGGCACACACCCAAATTAAAGTTAATCGAACATATTTTTGAGACATTTTATATAAGCCAAGGTGCACAATTTCATAAATTTGTTTTAAATGAAGTTTAAGTAAAATCAGAGAGAACACATTTTTTTAAAAGAAACGTCAATAAAAAAAGATATTCAATCTATTATTATTATTAAAAGTAGTTATATATATATATACATATATATGTGTGTGTACGTGATAGTGTTTTACTTTTTTAATACATGATTCTGTCTTGATCTTTGATCTTTGATCAATTCTTGCAAGTCTCGAGATCCTGTATTCGATAATAAAAGCGACAAAATAATATTTCGGAAGTGTCTTCAAAAATTGTCGCAAATTTTAGATCGTATTTTAAATTAACCGTTTTCGTAACATTGCGCGATTTCCTCAATTTGTTGTCAAGAAAGCTCTCAATATATACTCATTCGCGAAGTTCATCGCGTGCTGACGCGCGCAAATTTGCATTTCTTTCGCTTCGTCGAGTCGACGTGGCGTATAAGAATCCCCTCTTACCTATAAAGCAAAGTGCACCACAACGCGCAGGTTGCTCTGAAAATGCGTGTGTCTTTTTTTTTCGGCCGATCACCACCACTGGTGAATAAAGATGTTTTAGCACAATTATAAAATTTTATCAAAATATCTATTATCAAGTCGGTCAGATGTCGTGTTTTTTTCCCGTTCACCCGTCCGCGTAAAAACAATTATGTCCTGTGTGAATTTCGCAGATGTTCACTATCGCGCACAATTATACGTTCTGCGATATCTCGACACAGTGTGGCACAGTTCGTATAATTTTCGAGAAATTGTTAATTCGATTGCGGGATCGATCACTTTCGAACCGTAACGTCTCTTCCAAACTAGGGGGGATCGCTGCCGAGGGGTTGATCCCCGGTGACAGGACGAAGAGGGGGCCGGTTTCTGAGTCCTGAACCACGACCTCTCTCTATCGCTTCTCAGACGGTTCTGCTTCGATTCAGAATAGCGTTAAAAAAAAAAAAAAACGAAATTCCTACACGCACACGAGTCGGGAGTCGGGCGGGAACTGAGACGGCGACGCTCTCGAATGTCGCTAAAAACCGAAAAGCTCCGCGTTTACCTCTTCTCTCTCCCCGCTTCTTCCTTTCCCACCCAGTCCTTTGACACGCGCTCCTTCTCGTTTTCTCTCGCGCTCGACCCCCTCGCACCGTCTCGCTCATTGATGCCGCGACGTGTCTCCCCCACCCCTCCGTCATCACCCTCTCCGCGCCTCTCTTTGGCGCGTACCCCCTCTGTGTGGCTATACGGCGCTTCGACCCACCCAACCCTCCCTCGCCCGCGTTCCGACGCGTCTCGTTTCGAAGCGCCTTCGTTTCTTCGTCACGCCGCCGAGTTCCGATGCAAATTGCCTTGGGGCGCATGCCTTCGGAACGTGGTCTCCTCTTGAAACCATTCATTCCGAATCGTTTTTCTTTTTCTTCAGACCGATCTTCTATTTCGAAGTGTTTGCATTAAACCACATTGTTATGAAAATTTCGAGTGTCTCGCTTCGATATCGCTTCGTGATTGCCTCTTTCACCTCAAACAAACATTATCTCTCTCTCTCTCTCTCTCTCTCTCTCTCTCTCTCTCTCTCTCTCTCTCCTCAAGAGAAGGTGCTTTGTTTTTTTTATTTCGATCCGACTTTTGTGTCACTCAAGTTCTGCGGGAATGCAAATCGTCGTCTCGGAGCAAAACGGATTAATTCGTTTCGAAAAATTTTTGCTCGCTAAAAGAAATACGCACGCGCAACACTAGTAGTGAGGTACAGCTTTTTTTTTCACTGTTTTATCTCACGGACGTTGATACATTACTTAAATTACTTTTTTATTTAGTTGTCTCGTCAATTCTCTTTTTCAAATTGTTTGAACGTCGCATGCGCGTGTTACTTCGCAAAATTGCGGTTAGTTAGAAGATTGATGATTTTATCTTTCTGCTAATGGAAATGCGAGATATAGAAATGCGGTTTCTCTCGACTGGAATTCTGAGTGAGGTCTGTTGAACCTCAATCACCTCTACTTATGGCGGAACGATGATGAATAAAATAACCTGCACCACAACGCCAGGGTTAAGGCGTTTCGTGACGCACTTGCGAGAGTTTTCAAGGTTTCTCGTTCGTTCGCCGTGCTCGAGCGCGACGTCGTAAAGCACCAAAGCTATTTCTCGATTCGTGCGAGCACACACATTGCGAGCACACATCTCTCTCTTCGCTCTTTTCCTCCCCGCGGAGTTGAACGGCGCGAGTCTCTCGCCGTTTTCTCTTTTATCTCGTTTTCTTCCGCCGTCCCTTCCTCTCTCCCCTCTTCTCGTTCGCATTTAATTAATTCGCGCGCGCGCATCTGCGTGAAACAATGCCACTTACACATTACCGGTGTTGATAATCGTAATAATTAACCAACGCGGTGTCGGTCACACACACACACGCGCGCGCGCGCGCACACACACACCGGTCTGAAATTATGTCGCGCTTATTGCGAAATATCATTCACGGGATTTCCTCGCACTTGTCCGACGAGTGGCATTAATCCCGACGGTTATCGGTACGCAATCTCAAGTTTTCCTCATCGCACGCAACGCCAACGATGACACTGCGATAATAGAAAGCAAATGCCGCGATAGATAGAACAAACTTTTTTTTTCGCGTTCACGACGAAAAGAAATAAATCAATTCGTGTTGTCACGTTTGTGTTAGCGACGCGAGTTCGCAACGAAAGGATAATCGTATTCGCGTCTGTCACACACACCTTCGCGTGTGACGTGTGTCACGTGAAGGTGTACAAGTATGCCAGACATCGTTCGGAGCGTTCGTACGAATCGATTATTATTCCGGAACGGATTGAATCACGCGCCGTGTGATTTGGTTTATTTATTTATCTCGGCTCTCGTAAAAGTGTAACTCGTTTCGTAAGAACGTAATTGCTCTATTAAAGAATTATCTATTACCGAAGAAATATTACATGCGTCTCGCGCGTAATCTTCACCCGTGCGAATCAATACAAGTGCCGTGCGTTTAGATTTAGCACATGTATATGTCCGACGGTATTAATAATAATTTTGTCAGCTATTTTTTCTCTTATCTCGATTTCTGGGCGCTTTTTGTACGTGTGAACGTTACTTGCGCACCGTTGCCGGTTCCGCCGTTTCGAATGAAAAATTATATCAATTGCACGAAATGTTTCTCTTTTTTAAAAATGTGTGTGACAAAACTCGCACGATCTTATATTTCATAGAGACACGTTGCAATATTGTTTTTATTTCTACACGCGCGCGCGCGCGCGCGTTATCCGCTGATTTTTATCCTTTCGAAAACATCGAGTGTCCTATTTCCGACGGATATCATCGTCGCGCATATATTTCAAGAAATGCAATCGGGCTTGTCATGCGGTTTGACGCAAAACGATATGCGAACTTCGCGCGGTCGATAACGCGATTAAACGAAAAGAAGGACGAAGAGACGCGAAGCTAGAGCGAGAAAACGAGCGAGACAGATCGTTGAATTTTACTGCGTACCAGCGTACCGATACTATCATAGAAGAGAAAAATAAAAATATACAGAAAAGTTATCGGTCGCAAGTATAGGCGTTGCGTAAATGCGTAAAGAGCCGTTCATCGTATCGTTAGATAACAATACTGTATGCACGGCCGTTCTATATTTAGGTTACTGCGCGCAACTATAACAAGTTATAAGAAGAAGAAGGAGAGAGAGAAAGAGGAAAAGCAAAAAACAAAATAAACATAAATGTTATGTCAATTTTCGCGAACGAAATATTCGCAGAAATGAATTGCGCAATACAATCAGTCTTGGAAACAATCGGACAAACGTAGATCCGATTTGTTGTCCAATATATCTTTTTTAAAATTACGATCGATTCGCGCGATTAAAAAGATTGGACAACAAATTACGATATTTAATATATCTTTTATAACCGAGATAATTTAGTCGAACAATTTTCGCGAAGTCTAAACTAAAAACAAAAAAAGAACAAAAAATGACAACACGCCGAATAATTAACGTTTGTGCTATTTATATGACAAAACAAATCGAAATACTTGGTGTGTAAAAAGAGAGAAAGAGAGACTCCTGCTGCGACGCTCGGAGTCATCAGATCCTGGCTAATTGACGAACCGGATGTCTCCGGATAGCTTCGTTGCTTCGAATTGAACCCTCGCGGGTAGAGAACTCTTTGACGTCAATGTGTCGCTCATCTTCTTGAGAATACAAAAGATTGCGCGTCATTTGATTTTGCCGTGATATTGCGCAATCATCGAGCAAGGCGTATCGCAATCATCAATGTTTACGCAACAAACAATCGATCACTTCGCGGGTGGTCTTTTTTCCTTCTAGCGTGTATATCACGTGCGTGATGGAAGTTTTTGCGAATTCGTATGTACGAAAACAAACTCGTTGTCGTCATCTCACCGTACACATCACATCACATATATATGTACGTAGTACAGAAACGTACGTAAAGACGACAGAGAAATCAGAAATAAATGAAACAAGTGATATCCGCCGCGCGCGTGGATACCCCACTCGCTGGAAAGAGTTAGTGGAGTACATCTCACGCGCATCATCAATTAATCGTAATTCAAACATATCTCCTCGTTATCTGCAAGCAAGTAGCCGCGTCAAGTAGTTGCATCAAGAAGTCATTATCGTGCCAAGGTCGAAGACTGATCACAAAGTCTCAGATCAGTCGTCGGCAGCAGACTGGAAAGATTCGCGTTATCTCGCCGAGTGTCACCCGCCTGCAACGATGCGCGTTATCGCGCTTCTCGCATCTTCCTTTGCTTGTTTTCGTTATCGGGAAACAGAATTATACGGCAACTGTGCAATATGATTCGCGCGCCTCGTGTGCGTCGCGCGTCCAAGAATTCGCTCGCGTCCCGATAACTCCGCTTATCAATAAATAGACCGAAAAATGATTTGCGTCATATATATATATATATATATATATATATATATATATATATATATATAACGAATAAGAAATGTAATCGCAGCCGTGTACTTATGTATAATGACAATTAACCGCAACAGTGTAACTACTTCTCTCGATAAATTCATTTCGTTGCTGTTGATATCGGACACCGGAAGCGGGTCGGATAAGTTCGTGTGACCGTAGCGTGATACAGAACCTCTGGTTTTCTATTAACTTTTGTGTGTTATCGAGACGCTGCTTATGAATGATTTATCGCGCGCTCGAGCAGAGAATGCGCGTTCGATCAATTATTATCGACGATCACGGATCGTTTTTCCGCTCGACATTCCTCAGTAATTATATATACGTATTTTTTTTTTTTTTTTATTATATACTTACGTCCAAATGTACGGCTGCGCAAAATGCGTCTCAGAAATTCTCTCAATGTGTCGTATTTAATTAGTGACTGCGTATAAATCAACGAAGGTGTTAAGAAAAAAAAGGAGGAGTCACGATGAGGAGCCTCGTGGAACGCAAAGGGTCTACGACAATTGTTATTGTGAAACATTCAATAAAAAAAAACATGTTGTGCATTAATTTTATAAACCAATGTTACAATAAAACACGATTCTCTTTAACGTGTCTCATTTGTTATTCTATTAAAAGTGACACGTTGTTTTAGAGAGCTGCTCGTAAAATATACATGCGCAGAATGGGTTATATAAAAATACACAAAGTCACAGTCGCTCTATTGCCGGTTATAAAATAATATAAAGACCGTTAGAATATTATTTCCAGGCGCTGCCAGACGCTAGGAAATAACACAACCTTATTAAAATGCACGTGCCCTGCTATTAATAAAATTTTTATGCAGTTTTATATATACATACCTATACGAGTGCATATAGACGATCGTGTACACACCCATGCGCGCACACGCGACCGGTTCGTGCCAGGTCGGCACGGTCTTAAAGGAGAGCGAACGATATCGTGAAATAAAATGTAGATCGATACACAAGCGCGTCTCGGCCGATGAACTGGTTTGTGTTTGATCAAGAGAAAAAACTTTTTTAACTTACGCGCGACATAAAAGCGAGAAGCGGGATCACGAGTTATTTAACGCGTGTCCTCGGCACGTGGGCTCTGTGTCACCGTGGACATTTTTTTTTTTTTTCACAACGAGTGCCAAACAATTCAAAGACGATCGCGCGACGCATGTGCAATGTGCACAGAGAGATACGAATTAATCTTTATTAGCACAAAAACGGACAACGAAATGGCGGGGGCGCCAATCTGCTGGGGACTTGATAGCTCCCCTCTCTCTTCCTCGTATAAAGCTATCGAAAAATTGACGTAATTCGCGACTCACGCGGTTCACGCCTATATAAAAGTTCGCACGTTTTTACACACTTGGGTTTCCTTTGTGAAACACTTCGCGCGAAAGACCGACGTACTTATTAAGGTGTCTTCACATTTACTGAGATCTACAAAGGATTACTCAATATATTTTTTTTCTAGTAGATGTTTGACATTATGAGTTTGCGCGATATTGTTAATATTTTATTCAAATGACGCAGTACGGTCGTGCCGCACAAAATTCTGCAATTTTCACAATTCGCCTTTAATTAGAAATATCAAGTGTTTCTCTTATCTGGATTTAGTGAATACAAAAAAAAAAAACTAGATGATAGCAAATGTAATGTAAAATAAAGTATTAACGTCACTTTTTACGTACATACATTCGACACCGTCGAAGTATTGCTCGACGACGGTCTCGACGAAGTTCAGTTTTGCTTCGTTCTCGATTCCGCGTACGTTTTGCCGATTTTTTTACCGATTCTCCGCTTCCTCAAGTCACACAAGTGAAACATCGTAATTGCGTGAGAATCGGGCAACGTATTTTCTAAATTACACGAAATTCTTCTGCGTTATAAATTCTGTTCCAACGCTCGCACACGCAAACGTTAGAAACAGATAACTACGAAACCTCGTCAGGACCTGCAAACCCTCTCTCAACTTGCTCGTCTCGCGTATTATTCGCGTTTTTTTTTTTTTTTTTTTTTTTATTTTTCGAATGTCGCCAGATCCCCTGGGATTTACCTGCTGTTGTCTCGCTCGAGGATCGATGAGAAGCGTGCTCTCCGCTCCGTCTCCGCGCGCGCGCTGAGCCGCGCTTCCGCGACCCGGCTCCGCTCCGATTTCTGCACGCAGGATTTTCACGCCGGTTTTCGAGCAACGGCTGGCAATGACTGGGAAACGTGTCGCACCGCTGTTTCTCCGCGCGAAACGTTTCGTACGGATTATTACAAACCTTTTCGTCTCTTCGGCAGAGATGAGGAACGTCGTTTGTTACCGGCGACACCGTGAACGTGTGTGACGTGCGCGCTCCTTTGTAACCCCGCCGTAACTGGCGGATTTTCACTATGACGACGTGTGACGACCGAGTGACCAGTGACGTAACTAAAAAGGACAGAAACGCGCAGGACTGTGTTCCGCATTCAAGCGGAGCACCTTTCCTCTGTGCTCGTTGCTAAAACAAATTTCTTCACACACACACACACACAAAGTACAAATTACATACGAGGTAATTGTTGTTCCAGTGAATTTGGAACTGTTTCGTAATTGTTCAAGTTCAGCGGGGTTGATTCGCGTGAAGTGAAAGTCACAAGACAAACTTAAGAATATCTTTGTAGTGTTTTTGAACCGATCGATAATTATCTTCTACCGCAGTGTTTTTTACGCAAAGAAACTTCACGATCTTCTTTTTTTTATATTCCGCAACGTGTTGCGGAAGTTTGGATATCTCGAAACACCCCGCTTTGACATATGTCAGAGTAATGTCAAAGCTTCCCCGTTTGTGGACCGAACATAACGGCTCGTGGTGGGTTTTGAATGAAACAGCTGAGACTCGCTGAGAATGCGACTGCGTGCGTAGCGAAGAATCATTGGTTCTTTCCGGTCGACCGACAAAATTGTCCACGAACGTTAAACGCGCGTGTCTCTTATTATCTGTGTGCAACATACGTAATCACTTAATTAGCAATACAGTTGCTACTAGATTTGTTGTTTGTGTGTTGCACTTTTGAGAGAGTTGACGACGGAAGTGACGAAACAAGGTGAAAGTCAGCTATTTAAATTATTTGAATCACGGAGTTACGTATTTTGTGACGCTAAGGAGTGATTTCTTGATGTAACGAAATAATTGAAAAAAAAAAAAAAAATTAAAACGTATAATTTTAAATTAAAAAGAAAAATGCAATCTTATATGAATGAAGTAACTGTTTTTGATTTTACGCTCGATTAATAAAATGAAATTTCTGTCTAAAAATCAGAAGAGTTTGGATCTTTGTCAATTTGAATTCTTCTGAATAAATAAAATCAGAAGCGTGTTCGCGAAAGATGAGAAACGGCACTGCGATCGTAATCGCGACGGCGCAGGCGCCGTCAAGGACCTGCCTTATCAACCGGACGTTCTGAGCGAAAAGTCTCGTCTCAGCCGCATCCTCGAGAGTCATCGCGGAAAAATGCCGGGGAACAACTTGCAATTGTACAATTGTCACGTGTGATTGTTCGTACATATGTGAATCGCACAACTATTCCCGTATATAATCGGGACTCATCGGTGATCGGAAAAACTCACTGAAAAATCGGGTAAGTGATGATCGATTGATGGTGCTTTGCTGAGTACGCACATCCGAACGACAAAATAGTCTGCGTATGTCTGGGTCAGTGTGTAGAAGGAAATTGTTAACGAATTGCGAAACAGCGCGCTTAATACTTACTCGTCATCGCGAATTATCGAGCAAGATAGAGAATGTAAGCTGAGTGACGAATGATGAACACACGTAGTGATGAAAGAAAGATGATGAAGTGGAGAGAGCAGACATAATCTTGTGAAAATAAAAGAAAGAAGAGAGACAGAGAAATAGAAGAAATTTTGGAGGATTGTCTCTTTGAATTGTACGTACAATAATATTAATTACATTATTATTTTATTATTACTGTTATTTAGTACGTGAATGTATATTTTCGTCTTCTCTATCAACAATTACAATATTTACCAACGTTAAACTTTGTTCTTGCTATCATCTTTCGTTAACAAACAAAAGGGAAATCAATAAAACTACTTTTTTTTTTTTCATATTTTTGAGTAAGTATAATTAGATGTATATGCACACATTATTTAAAAAAAAAACGCAGTATATTTATACAAAGTTCAATATCGTTCTATTTCTTTAAAATGATTTCAGAATTCGCTGCACTAGTTTCTCTTTGTTTGTGTACTTCGGATATAATTATCAGAGATCTAGAGTTTCGTCTGTTCATGAATTCATGGATATTTTGGTCTCATGAATGACAAAAATATGCAAATACAAAGATTCATTGACCTTTGTGTATTTGCATATCTCTCTTCAAGGCCGTAGGAATCTATATAATTTTACGTAATAATTATAGACACATTGAGAGATTAGCTTTAAGTTTTTTAATTTGTCTAGTATATATTTTCTCTCTCTCTCTCTCTCTCTCTCTCTCGTTTTTCTTTGCAAGTGTCATTTGTAAGTTGTTGAATCAAATCACATACACAGTCAAATAAAACAATATTTTTCAAAATAATTATGCAGGAAATATTTTGAGAGTAAACAATTTTAGAGTGTCTTATAGCGTTTGACTTTTTTTCTTAGTCGCACGGCTTCAAAAATTGAAACAAAAATGGAAAAAACGTTTTAACGATTACTCGAATAATATAAATATTATAAATTGTTACAATGTATTATATCCGATATCTGTTCATGTCATTATTTTACATATAATATATTTCAATCATACAATCGTACTTCTTGCTTTTTCACTCTCGAGAACGTTTTGACATTTGCAATTATTAGTCCACTTTTGTGACAAATGTCACGTCCAGTGATATTCGAATAAATAATCATATACAAGTAATTGTTAAGTGTATTTACCGTGATGTTATTCTATCCACGTGACATTTTAATGTTGATGTGGAATTAAAGATCACAATATTGACGTCATTTTAATTGAGCAAGAGAAAATTTTCTCTCTCACTCTTTCTCTATCTTTCCCTAAGAGACGTCATCATGAGTGACGTCACTTGGAAAATCGATTAAGTCTGGTATAGGCTCGCTTCAATTTTTTATCAGATAAAAGCTTTGAAGCAACGTATTTTGAAGAGATTTCCAATTTCAGGATGTAAAGAACATTGAAACTTCTCTCTCTCTCTCTCTCTCTCTCTCTTTTTATTCACATACACATACACGCCTACATATCTATTTAATATTAGCAATCCGTACTGTCTTTTTTGTATAGTATATTTATGTCACAGAAAAACTTCATACTATAATATTAAAACAAAGTTTATAAATAAATAAACAAAATATCACAGTTCGTCCGACAAAAAAGCGGAATATAAAAATTATTACTTCAAGAGAGACAGACCAGAATAGGAAAACGAAGAATGAAAAAACAAACTCAGAAATTTGCCAAGGAAAAAGTGTTATGTTTAAAGTATTTTCCTTATCATGATTGCCTAATTACGGCAAGCTTGTTAGTGCATTGCGGTTAATGTGGAGATGCGCCACATACAATGTGACCTCGGAGATACTCGCATACCCAGTTGACACAATTAGGTTCGTGCAGGTTGAATGATGAACTCTATAACGAACCGCACATGTCCGTTAATTACACGGTCCGTGATAATTAGAGATCGACGTGAATCTGACATAGCTTCCGATGATATTTGTTTCTTAAAGTTAAAACTTGTGTACGTGTGTGTGTATGTGCGCGCGTATGACGAAGATAAACGTGCAAGATGTTCACGAATTTGGGGCTACAGATATGTTGCAACGCGAAAGAGAAATCTCGGGAGAAATTATTTATTGCTTATTTTATACTTCCACAAATATCTAAGTTTAGATTTATAGATTATTGATAGAATTCGCAAGTTTGTTTTGTCAGTTTGTACTTGAAGAAATGTTTGCATGCAATTGAACTTTCTGTATTTTTCACATTTTTATTCGACTCCGTAACTTGTCGTGGCTCTCTCTCTCTCTCTCTCTCCTTCCTTCCCTCCTTTCCTCTTTTTCTCTCTTTCTCTCTTTCTCTCTTTCTCTTCATACCAAGTGTTTTCGTGTTCTATTTTCATGTTTCTATTTTCCACATAGCTTTGTTCTCGCGAACCTCTTTCCGGTTTCTTTGTACCCTTTGTTTTGGGGAGAAATCCTCAATTTTTATACAGTAATTATTAATTTCTTATAGTGTTGAATATATATCGATAAAAGAGTGCTTCGGAGAGAAATTACAAACTGGTTTAATATAAGACGAAAACGATGAAAAATATAAAAGATTCTACTTATTGTGGTGTTTTTTTACAAAAAATTGCGAATTGAAATTCACATGTAACTTACAAATTACGTCTTTTATGAGTCGCATTTCGACCGAATGTCGGGTCACCGGGAGAGTGTATCTATCCTCGGAGGGTGGAAAGGAAACTTCGACCCGCCCTTTTGAAATGTCAAAGGTTGCCGCGCAAGTCGCATCGACGTATCCCCGTTTCCCAGAAAGCAACCTAGTGCGAACCCGATGGCATTGTTCGTGCTCGACCACAGGATAATTCGCTATTATTCGCAAGAAGAATCAAACGAAAGAATGAGAGAGAGAGGGAGAGAGAGAGAGAGAGAGAGAGAGCAGAACAATGAAATGATTTTTCAAATAAATTTTATTCAAATACCGAAATAAATTTACACGCACTCGAGATTAGTAACTATACAAATTTATCTGTCGTATTTATGTGTGTATTTGGATGTGCACTTATATTACACGTTAATATAAAACAAATAAGTATCGCGACACACGGAGCGAGAGAGTGCACAAGTACGTAAATTTATAAGCTCTGATTTTTGTGCTTTTATTCGTTTGCAAGTCGAGTTTGCGAAATGTGCTCAAATAAAAAGATTCGTATGCAAATAGTCAATGTCAGCACAGTCGGAGAAAAGTCTTACAAAATCTGTGTAAACAAGATATTTGTACACATCAATATATTTGTCTAACGAAGGTAAATGCAGAATTGAAAATGTAATATTTTGTCAGAAAAATCACTCATATATACATGCTGAGAGTTTTTTAATACAATAATCTGAAGCGAGCGATGTGTGATCGATATTCGGAGAGAGCCTTTGATATTTTCGCAAAATTATTGTATTAATAATCATGTTGGAAGGGTAATATCCGACAAGTTGCACTTTACCGTTGCCACGAAAGGTCAGACCGCTGTGGCATTACGATTTCATCAAATTCTGAAATTTCTATCCGCCGGCTAGAGAGAGAGAGAGAGAAAAGACAAATATTCCGCGACATCTGGGTGGCTGTAATTAAATGCCGCGCAAAGAGAAGATCTCCGAGGCCGACATTAAAGCGCCTCGTTTGTCGTCGACTCGCAAATAGTATTTTATTTTTCTTTGCTCGTTCGATATTCAATTTTTATAGGAGCGGAAGGTCAAATGAGATTTCATCTCGCGTGCCTTGTTGTATATTACTAGAGAGGATGTGTTCAATTATATGAATTGAATTTCTTATTGTTTTCGTGATATTTCCAATTTTCACCTCTAATCACATTAAACTCGTACAATTTCTTAGTATAACTTTTTGATTTTGTATATCTTATATATATATTTATATATATATATATATATCTTATATATATTTTTTTTATATATATATTTTTTTTATTTTATTATTTTCTATAAATGTATGCACAAAAACAGTTTTGTTATCATATGACCGGAGCAGGAAAAATTTGTTGAGTTTACTAATTTAAATTTTTTGTCATCAATAAAACATTTTGTTGGCGAAACTAAAAATTCATTAAACCGAGCAAATTTGTTTGCCAATCATATAATATGCATATATTTATTAAATTTTATACTTAAAGATCTCCAACAATAACTAATCTTCTTGTTGTTCTAGCAAATCTTTTTTTTTTACGTTGAAAATATTATCAACAAGACGGAAAAGTGTAGAAAATATCTTTCGGTTAGCGATTATACAGGTAGCGTTACATTGTTTACCAGTTTCTTGCTGATTCCAGACATAGCGGCGCGTCGATAACGCGCGGATTATAAACGGCGTTCCCCCATTTATCACATTCGTTCGCGTATTTCTCCTCGCTTAAGTGCGCCCCGCTATTAATCTCCCGGAGAGACTAAGCGATTCCATACTTTTTTTCGATGTCTTACATCTCAGGAAATAAGATGGAACAGATTGAAAAGTTGGAGTTTGTGTTCGAAATGATCGAGATGTTAAATAAACTCGAATGAGATTTAACACACAGATTCGAGTTTAATTTTCTTTTCCACAAACAATGTATGTTTGAGAGAGAACTTTCGTTAACTTAAATTGATAAATTCTCCGACAGAGATTATGAACATCTGTGTTTGTAATATTTCAAGTTTAATTAATTTCTCTTGTCACACACAAGATCAAAGTGTTTTAGTGTTTTTACAAAACCACGAGATTTTGCGTTCCGTTATTATTCGCTATCTCAATGCCGAAAATCTATAATTCACGTGTATATTATTATTAATAGATTACTGACAGTGAACGCACAGCCCACGCTGTTCTGCTTTTGTATATACGTACGCAAATCGCACGTGTCAATCGATTATCGCAAGTAACGACGACGTTAATTTCAAAAACAATGAATGACAGAGCTCACTCGTGTGGTTAGGGAACGCGAATTTATAGGAACGTAATATCTAGAAAAATTCGTATAAGACTATACCGGTGAAATGAAGCACAAGGTGACACAATTCGCGCGAAAATTATCCGATTCGTGGCGACTGACGACGTTTTGGAGACGGCTCAGCGAGAAATCGAAAGATCGCAACTCGCCGAAAACGTCGCTCTGCTCGACGGACGACGATGATTCTTGCTCCCCGTGTCCTCTTGTGCCAACGAAGCAGCAACCGACGTATTGTCCGTGTCCTCCCATACTGCTATCTACTTGTCCGGAAGCTGGTAACGTTGGAAATATGATTTCGCACGCATACGCGTAGTCTGAACTTCTCTGATGAATTTTGCGACTCGGCGCGCGAAGACGAATTTGACGACGCGCCGGGAAATTTTATTTGCAAAACGCGCTAAACGCACAATTTGTTCTGGCACGCAGATCCAGGCAAGCACAAATTTTGGCGAGCAATGTCTCTCTTCGTTGCGATACCCGTTGTGTTGATCACGTCGATAATCACTTGCATACGGGAGAAGGAAAAACGGAAACAGCCGAGAGAACCGTACTTGAATTTGCCCTACATGCAACGTCGGACCAAGGTTCGGTTCAGTTTCGTTTGTCACATTCAGAAGAAACAGGACTTGAGGGAAATCATTTCATTGTAATATATAAATCACGCGAACTTGGAACTTTGTTCGAATATACTGCAATACTCTTCTGAGAACGACAAATGTTTCCCCAGTGAGAAATTTTAGTTGTCAAAGATATATGTATACACGCACTGTATTACTTAATTTTGTGTTGCTTCAGCAAGAGATGCCACTGTGAAATCGCTTTGTGTAAATTTTTTTGTTCGCCCATATATTTTTTCTTTTCCGCGCGTGTGTTATTTGGATTCACTGCGCGTCTTCAACAGTTAGACCTATTTTTTGCGGTCTCGATTATCGACTAACGAAAACCCACAATTTCACCGACCTTATTCCAGTTTGTTTGTAACTCGAAGTTTCACACTGTTTTATGAAATTCTCAAATAGTAAAAGAGAAAGAGAGAGAAAGAGAGAGAGAGAGAGAGAGAGAGAGAGAAAGAGAAAGAGAGAGAGAGAACATGACGGAGACAAATCTAGACTCATTTTCTTTTAACAGCCATTTCCTTGGGGCGACGGCAATCACACTCTGTTCCATAATCCCGTGAAAAATCCTATTCCACCACATGGTTATGAAGTTGAGGATCCGAACGCAATTCCCGAGAAGAAAAAAGACAATTAGTAGAAGTGTAGGAATGGCTTGGATCCTGCTGGTGGCAGTTGAAAATACCGACGAGGAGGAAGAATATGATGGCATGTCTGCCTCGACACGCGGCGGTCGTTTTAATTTTTAATCGTCTCTCGTCACAAAAATCCCTCGAGTGAGATCAGACATGAATTATTAAATCTGAATAGGAGAGAGCGCGGCTCTCAGGTAATGCAAAGTGCCATAGTACATTTTGCTATAGCATATAAATGTTTTATTTATTCAAAATTGTAACGAAAAGTGTTATGTAATTTTTATAAAGTAAAAAAAATATATATATACATAAAGATTTTTAATAAAAGCCTTTTAACATCACATCGCATTAATACTAATTTTATAAAATTTTGAATAAATAAATTTATAAAAGGAACACAAATATGTGTGTGTGTGTGTGTGTGTGTGTAGATCGCGATTGCAAAATTAAATTTTGCATCATATTAAAACATAAGTTTAGGAAAAAGAAAAAAAGATTTGGGCATACACTTTAAAGGAAGAAAATGTGTGTTGAAGATCAATATTAAATATTGGTAGCATCGGAGGGAAGAGAGAGAGTCCCCGCGAGAGAGAATTAAGGTTGCTTCTCCGGTGAGGAGAGACGCGCACGCCGGAGTCGCGGCGTCGCGACGCCGTTTTTGGTCTCGCCTTCTCGCGGGGGTAGTGCGAGTGGCGCAGCTGGTCTCGCGCCTTCTTGTCCGTTCGGGGACGATCAATAGACTGGGAGGTGGCGGAAGAGAGAGGAGACTGGCGGTGGTTGTCCGGGCAGTGGCGAGTTAACCACCCCGGCATCACATTTCTATTATCTAACAACAATCTCCGGTATCACGTCTCTATTATCTTAGGGTCGATTCCCCTCACGTGGCCACCCTCGCGTGACCACTTCACGAAAGAGAGAACGAAATTATCTTTAAAACACCGCTCTCGGAAGAATCGTCGCAATTTATTTCTCTCGATTAGCACGAAATGCGAAAACCGCGCGCGCGAATCGAGGTTTTGCATATTTTGCTGTCGATCGTTGTAACCGCCGGACTTTGTTTATTTATAACACGATCATCGCGTATGATTCGCGAAAAGTTTGTTTTGAAAAGAAACAAGTTATTATTTTTGCGGATGTGTGCGCTACGGTATAATCATTTCTGTTCGGGAAAAAAAACGTCAATATCTATTTTTTTTTACTGGTTATTATTTCTTGCCGTACGTCGAAGCGTCTCGTATATTGTACAAAGACTAATCTATATTTCATGTCCGTATGTTTTTTCATCATGTCGCTTTTTGTTGACGAATCTCGTAAATCTCCCAATGAATAAAAAACCCGGTTGTAAAAAACATTCATATCATGCAAATTTCTTGCGGAGCGCGCGTGATGTCGCGTGCAAAAAATGTAAATCGTCGCGCAGGCCTTGTACGCGCGCGCTTTTTGCCCGTGCGAAATAACACAATTTGTTCATTGGCGCCATTCGATTTACGGCCCTGTCGCGGGCTCGTCGGCTCCCGGGATACGAGCTTTGATTGGCCGGTGGCGTTTTCGCGGGTTCGTCGAGCCGCGCGCGCGATCACGCCGCGCCAATCGAGCATCCGCCTCCGCTCCGCTGTCAGTCGGTGGCGGCGCGTCGCCGTGTTCGTGCGTTTTGTGTGTATCTCCTTGATCAATCGGTTTCGCTCCGTTTCCGCCGAGCCACCCCTCTATAATAATCTCGCGATCGCGTATTTTTCACCAATCGCTTTCCCTCACTCGTGATCATTATTTGCGTCATTCGACATCGTCGTTCAAGTTCCTTTTACCGACAAATTTAATTCCCGTTAAAAAGTGACGACACACGCGCTGCTTATTGTCATTCGAATCGATACAAAAATGTGACACCAAAGAATGCAAACAAATTTCAAGAATCTCTTTGATCGACCGTGAGAGAGTGCAACGTATTTTTTATTTTTACATTCTTGTTCCGCTCTCTTTTTTTAATTTTAATTCTATTTGTTAGAGAACCGAGGAAAGAGAGAGAAAGAGAGAGAGAGAGAGAGAGAGAGAAGAAAACGGTAATGAAGCGTTCAATTAAGAATAAATAAGAATCATTGGCCAAAAAAAATCGATGACTCGAGCTTAATTCTTTAAGTCAGTCGCGTCGAAAGCAACAAACGTAACGAACTCGAAACTGTTGAATCAATTGACGAATTAATTATCATACGTGTTCTCTCTTTGCGACCGGAAGTTTGCGGACTGACGAAGAAAAGCGAAACACACGCGCGCGCGTACAAAATCCATGTTGTTATATATTTAATTACGCGAAGAAAATATTAATCGACATATACACGCGAAAAGGATACGTACAAAAGTGGAGAACGTGTCTTCTTCTTGGGAACTACGTCGTACGTGCGGCGGTAAATGTGGTATGTTTGACGTTATCATCCATTTACCGTTGCTTCCGACAGCGAGGATTAAATGTGCATTTTGTGAGCGACGTCTGCTGCCGCGCGGCGATTAAAATTCCGCGATTTGTGTGCGCGTGTGTGTGTGTGGGTGTGTTTACAAAAGCTATCGTGTAAATTTTGAAAATACGCGGATTTTGACACGCGGTCGTATAATCCGTTCTCGTCAGTGTAATTCCTGCGGGTCATTAAAATGTCGTAACGCGCGATGTAAAATTTAAATACGCGATCCCAGAAGAGTTCGCGAGCCGCGTATAAATAAACGTTTTGCGTAACAACGTTTTGTTTATTGGTCGCGGCAATCGGAAACGCGCGGGACCGCCGCTCTTCGTAAGACTTTTGCAAATCGCTCGTCGTCGGAAAGGCAGTGCCACCAATTTCGGCGATTTCTCCGCGATTTCTCCGCGAAATACATACTCTCTTTTTTTTCCCGATATATCGGAGAACGAGATGCCGTGAAACAAAAAAATTTAGTAATATATTAAAAATAAAAAATTTTATCGTTCGCGCGAAGCCGTAAAAAAAAAAAAAAAAAAAACAAAAAGCCAATCGTTCGTGCGAAGCTGTAAAACAAAAGCGAAAATTAATAACGATTTAAAAATGGCAATATGCTTCTCAAAAATCCACATGTGCGCCGAGTGCGTGAGATTTGCTATAAATAAACTTGTAATTGTTATCACGCTTAGTTACGTTTGTACAGACTTGTACGTGCACATAATCATATATTTCAATTAATTTAGCGACCGCAATTGCAGAAATGCAATTAACGTCGATGGCAAACGCGAAGCGTTTTTGTTTTGTTTCGTGAAATGTTATTTTCCGCACTGGCCACTTTCATATATCTACTTTTAGCTATGACTAAGCACCGGAATTACAAAATGTTTCCGGCGAGTACGTTACCTACCTACTCTCTGTGTGTTGCACGGTGGCTCGCGCTTACTTACGTGACTTATCCCTCCCCGACATTTTCATTTTAGATTTTCACTCTCGTAACGTAAACGCGAGAGCGCGTTAAATGTTTTTCTTTTTGCTTTCGTTACAGAAAAAATTACGTCCGACGACGCAAAATGGAAACGTCACTCGTGATTCTCGCCGAGAAAGTTTTCCCGAGATGTCGCGAGGACATCAAACACGACGACGTCCGATATCCTTGAACGAGAGATTGCACTTTGCGAAGATGCACGGGTGATAAAAAAAAAAAAAAAAAAAAACAGGCTTGGACAAAATGTTGATCAAGGAGTATCGCATACCGCTGCCTCTCACAGTAGAGGAGTATCGAATCGCTCAGCTGTACATGATAGCGGTAATTATCGCGCGATTGAACCGTGTAATTAGTAATTTAATTATAATACTCGAACACACGCGCGACGCAGATGTGTAACGCGGTGACAGATCTTGCGACAGATTTTTTTCTTTTCTACGATCTCATAATAAAAACGAGACAATTTTTTTGTCATAATCTTCGGTCAAGAACGCAGATATGTAACACGGTGACAGATCTTGCGACAGATTTTTTTTTCTACGATATTCATAATAAACAAGAAAATTTATTTTGTAATTATGTATCTCAGTTACTTTTTTTTTTTTTTTTTTGTCATTCTCCTTTCGCATCTTCTGCGCGCGAACGGGTTTGTAATTTCTCGTCAATAAAGAGAAGAATTTTATGGTCAAGAACGACCTGCGCGCTCCTTAAGTGATCAATAATCCGTATCCCGTTCGGGTCTCTGTAACTCATGCAGAAAAAATCTCGAGAAGAGAGCAAGGGTGCCGGTAGCGGCGTCGAGATCATCGAGAACGAGCCGTACAGCAACGGTCCGGGCGGTAGCGGCCAGTACACACACAAAATCTTTCACGTGGGCAGTCATCTGCCAGGCTGGTTCAAGAGTCTGCTGCCCAAGTCGGCGCTGATCACCAAAGAAGAGGCATGGAACGCGTATCCGTACACCAAGACACGGTACACGTGCCCGTTGGTGGAGAAGTTCTCCGTCGAGATAGAAACTTACTACTTCCCGGACAACGGACTCCAGGAAAACGTCTTCAATCTTACGGGCAGCGATTACAGAAACAGAATCGTCGGTAAATAGAAAAAAAAAAGTCAAATTAATTGAGACTTGAAAAAAAAAAGTAAAACGCTCGTTTGTAAAATAACAATGAAAATGAAAATGAAAAGGTCAATATCGAGCAAACGACATGTATTTAACAAAATAACACGAGTATGCAAAAATTACATAGTTGTGCGAAACGTAAATTGAAATTACACGCGAATATAATTTTAATTAAATGTAATTTCCCATTTGCTCGATATTGACCTTTTTATTTTCATTTTTATTGCTAAATGAGATTTAATTGAACGAGAGCATTAATCACGTGGTGATGTAGTGTGTAGTGTTAATCTTTGAAATTGTTCGATAAGCACTTTATTGTTTCCTAATGACGCATGAACAATCGAAGTTTATCTTATCGTTCGGTAATAACGTGACGGTAATAATACACTTGCTCATTTATTGATCGGTCGTACTGAATTGATTTCAAGACGTCATCGACATCGTCAAAGATCAGCCTTATGGGGCCGATTACGTAAAAGAAGAAGATCCCAAGTTGTATGTGTCGGAAAAGACCGGAAGAGGCCCGTTGGAGGAAACATGGCTGGAGGATTATTGGGCCGAAGTGGAAGTATACATCGCTTTTTCTCTTTTCTTTCTATCTTTTTTTTCTCTCTTTTTTTTTTTTTTTTTGTTTTTTGTCTAATCTCTTTCGAAAAGTTTACACTTGTTCGCTTAAGTAGTTTTCACCGTTGATATATTAGCGATTCTCTCGCCGTCTAGGGAAAGCAACAGCCAACGCCGTCCGGAAAAGCATTAATGTGCGCGTACAAGCTATGCCGAGTAGAGTTCCGTTATTGGGGCATGCAAACGAAATTAGAAAAGTTCATACACGACGTAGGTTAGTACCGTATATGCTCACCTTTCTCTGCTTTTTACCTTGCCCTTTGGATGCCGGGCGATTGACTCCGAGAGAAGATTTGACATTTTATCTCGAAAATTGCGGGAAAATTGCGTCTTCATCGAGTTATCCAGTTCAAAAAAAAAAAAAAAAAGAGAGATTGGTTTCCTTAACAAAAAAAAATTGACTCTTCTGAACTTTATCTGTGAAGGTATCGCATGCTTTTTTTAATAATAAAATGTCGAAGGAATTTAGTGATGTCTTTTTTAAAATATATATATATATATATATTATGTAGCTTTTTTAAAGGATTTGTACAATTTCTTTCTATATAAATATTTATATATATAAAAAAAATATTCCAGAAGTCGCGCGCGTTTGTCTGTGAATTAAATATAAATTAATTAAGATTTAAGGCTGATTTTTATTTAATATACTAAAAATCAGCAGAGAAAATTGCGCGCGACCTCTTCTATATATAACATTTTGTAATATTTTGCATTTTTATATGTACATATAATATTTTGTAATTTGCATATATTTATTCCATCTCTCTATTCATTTAACAAATAACGGCAATGCTTTAACTATACTCTGGCTTAAAAAATTTATATAACTCTTTAAAAAATTTATCTTTTAATTTTTATGCGACGAGAGCCCGGCAGCTAAAGGGTTAACTCTTTTGATCATGAATGTTTGCTCCGTTATAACTTAAAAAAAAATTGTTTTCAACATAAAAAATACTATGAAGTATAAAATATGAAGACCTTTAATTGTCACTTTAACATTAAGGAAAAAGTTAATTAAAAGTACAGAGAAAAAAAAAGATTGAGTAAGTGTGTCAATTAAGTAATGTCATTTTTGATTTTTTTCTCGACATTTCTTTCTTAGTTCAGCTCGAAATATTCGAAAGAAAGAAAATTTCATATAAAGACACATTTCACGGAATTAATTTAATTCGAACTATCTCTTTGCTTATTGATTCATTATTACTACCGGATGTGCGCGCACCGAGAACATCCCTACTCGTTGCTCGAACATCGTTTTCTCTTTCCCGCTCATGATCGAAAGGGTTAATTTTAACCGGCGCACCCGGTCGGCCGTGCGTGAGACGTATTAAGGTCGGTTCCAGCTCTGCGGAAGACGATGGTGCGGGCGCACAGACAGGCCTGGGCCTGGCAGGACGAGTGGACCGGTCTAACGATGGAAGACATCAGGGAGATCGAGCGACAGACGCAACTGGCGTTGCAGCAGAAGATGGGGTTGGCCGAATCGGAGGATGACGGAAATCAAAACGAAAACGTGTCGTCGCAAACGACGACAGCGACGACAACATCGACAGCGGTGAATGCCGCGATGACGCCGCCGGAGTCGAACGTCGCCAAGACCCTGGCGGCCACACTGGGCAGCATCGAAAAGAACGAGGAAATACAGAGCCCGCCGTCCGTCAGGAAGCCGTCCGACATTCCCATCATCAACACGGCGGCCAGTTCCGAGGGCGAGATCAGTCCGGAGGATTCGCCGGTCGATCTAAATGAAATCAAGTAAGATAAACTTGCACATTTTTTGCTTTATGTGGAATAATATCTGCAACAAACGGAATTTGTATGTGTGTGTGTATGTGTGTGTGTTTGTGTACGTATCTTACATTCCCTTAAATAACTCGAACGTTATTCACTGTTGTTGTTATCGTTGTTCGTATCATTTCTCGATGCTCTTAAGATGATAAGATGATGTGATAAGATATGACACTCGGAAATGTATCGACATGTTATTAGTATAGCTTCGACCGTAGTTTATTATTAATTAGATTGTATTCTAAAATGGTGAACTGTGTGTGATACTAAAATAACGTTGATTTTACTATTTTTGTTTTTAACTACATATACAATATTATTTATTTTACGTGTTTATATATGTATATATATATATGTATACATATATACATACATATATATAAAACAAAATTTTTTTCCAAAAATCGTGCTTCTCTTATAGAACTGCAATTACCGACGAAAAAGCTGACACCAAGAAGTGGAGGAAAACTAACGTAGGTTTGAATTCGCCAAATTCCAATAAGAGCTTCGACATCCAAATAGCGAACTGGAGAATGGAGAGTATTGTCAGAGAATCCGAGTCCGGCAGCGACGACGAGTTCTTCGACTGTCAAGGTAAGATCGGTATGACGCACGTGCAGCGTTTGCGATAATCTAGAGAAGTGCAGCATGCTGTGTGTCTCTAGACAAGACAACAATTGTTTAACACATTTTGCTATAAAACAAATAAAAGCCAAAAAAATGCAACACACTACTTTCCATTGTATAATAAAGTTTAATACAAATGATTAAAGATCTAAAGAAAAAAAAAGCAACTTAAAATATTTTAAACGCGTATTTGTGATGTATTTGTGATAATTTTAACACTTGGCCTGCAGACATGTGGGTCTCCCGGACCCACTCAAAAATTGCGTATCGACTTTTGTAGAAAATATCTTCGAATATACTCGAGATGTTTTCAATTTGTTTGTTTTTCAATTTGTTTTTTTTTTATCGACGTAGAATTGTTCAAACTTTTGATTCAAAAAAACAAAATTGAAAAACTATTGATTTTTCGCGAAGTTATTTTGATTTTAAAAAATCGCTTGGGTCTCACAGACCCAGTCTGTCTTACTCGTACAGATAGATTATTTTTGAGGTCTACAGGCAAAGGGTTGATATATACGTTATAGATAATTAAAACAATTAAAAAAGATTCAAAAACTCCGATTGTTCACTGATGGAGGTGGTATCAACACAATAATTCAACTCTCGTAAATGTCGTTACGAGACGTTTTGATCCGTATTTATTTGTTTAGATCATCTTTAGCCAAACTATCTGACAAGTCAGCCACAATGACCGTTAATGCATGCTGGAAAGAAAGTCAAATATCGATGTCATGTTAAACAACACGTGAAAATGTGAAGCGTATGCATACGGAAAGTTCTTAATTGGAAAATAAGAAATAATAACGCCAGTCTTTACAATTGCCAACACACAAGAAAAACGGAACCGAACATGTCTTACATAACAACAAGATATAGAAGATGATCTAAACAAATAGATAACAGATCGAAACGTCTCGTAACGACATTGTGAGTTGAAGTATTGTGTTGAATACCATCAGTGAACAATCGGTTTTTTTGGAGTCTTTTTTAATTGTTTTGATTACAAAACCATTTTCTAACTATTTACTTGTTATAGATAATATTTATATGTTATATAGAGATAATTTGAATATATTTATTATTGATTTTTTTAAATAAAATGCGCTTGTTCCTATGCACACTTTTTAAACCATGCGAAAGAAGTGTGTCCTGCAAAAAGATGCATACATAACTGAAGTAGAAAAAAAACAGCATGTGCTGTGTTTTTTATATGTGTGTCCTTTTTATTTTTTATGTTGCATTCCATAGCTGCAGCTGGGTTCATAATACCTGTTATACGCAAAGGTAGGACGTAGAGTGATTAAGTAATAAGCGAAATAAATTGCGTGAGAAAGAGAGAGAGAGAGAGAGAGAGAGAGCGAGGAAAAAAGAGAAAAAAAACAGGAAACAAAGATGCGTGTGTGTGCGCGTGCGTGTGTTATTACATCGTATTATGTGTGTTATATATACATATACATACAAACTGTATTGTTTTTGTGTGAAAAAGTTTTCTGCAGAATTAAAAGAATGGCCTCGTAAAATGTACGCGTAAAATGATAAGATAGACCGTGCTGTTTGGCGCGGACAAACTTGGCAAACATCTGACACGACATGTGACTAAGATTAAAATTGAGCATGAGAAAGACTCGTATGCGGGGCATGTTGCAGCGGCATGGCTACGTAGTAAAGAAAACAAGATTTCTGTTGCTAACAAATTGACAACTCGCCTTGCATATTTAGAGAGAGTTTTTAGCACAAATTTATATATATTGTGTATTAGAACAAACAAAAATATTATATTACTTCTATATAATCTAGAGTACGAGTACAGTTCTCATTGCGCTAAATTTCCATTTTGCAACTTTACATTACTGGTAAAATGTTTGCAAAAAATATTGCGCTGTAAAATTTATTTTCTAAAATTTATTACCGTTTATAAACGAACGTTACGATTTTTTTCATTAAGCGAGTATTTTCACAATCTTTTATTATTACTATGAGAGTACCCTTGTTTCAAAAACGTGTCGCGATTAATCAGAGAGACACATTGCATAAGCAGTGTTATCGTTTCTGATTATACAGAGGAATTTGAAGATAGCCCTTCATTAGCTAAATGGAGTTCTTTGGATCTTCTAGCAGAAGGGGAGGACACAACTGTGCAAACACCACCCGGGGCAAACGAACAAGGTTAGCAAAAATACATAATATTTAAACCCCTTGCACAATGCGAGGGAATAGTTATAGCGATAAGCAATAGACACAGAATTGCACCTCGTCGGAAATTTTATCGCCATTGCTTATTCCGTTTTCTGATCCGCATTGATACATGTGTATTTTTGTATGTTACATTCCGTTGTTCCTACCGTTATTTATAGATATAAACTCTTTAAAACCGGTGTTATTTCTATCGCTATTCCTTCCATTGTGCAAGGGGCTTTGTAATATTGTTTTTTTAAGTTTTAAAATAGTTTGCAAAATATTGTTTTTCAATCACACCTTTTTGTTATGATACGACGCAACAGGTTTTCTTTTATAATTTTAGATGACACAATATTTTCGCCTTCGTATCTGCAACGCGTAGCCACCGAGCGAAACAGTAAAAGATTACAGATCAGCACATCAGCCAGTATTGACGTGTCGTGTCCAGCAAGCCCTCAACATTCTCCTACGCATCAACCGTGCAAAGTTAGCGTTCTGATTATTGTAGTTCACGGTGGCAGCGTTTTAGGTAAAGCATTTTTCTTTCTTTTTTTTTTTTTTTTAATACTTTCTTGCATTATAAATGATTAAAGAATATTATTTATTAAAGAATGTTACATCCATTGTTTTTGCTTTATTATATTTTAGACGTACATGTTGATTTGACGGCAAAAAAGTCAGACATAACGACATTCCGTGGAGCCTTTGAATCTGTCATGAGACAGCATTACTCCAGCATGGTTGGACACGTGTCTATTAAATTTGTATCCTGTCCTTCTATTTGTACTGAAGGTCTTGGAATTTTATCCAGGTAAATATATATCTTTTGACTGTGACTATTAAACTCAGAGCTTTTTGATATAATCTACTAACTTTGATTGTGTATACAGTCTGAGTCCGTACAGCTTCGATGTGTCGCCTTCGTGTGCAGACACACCGCAAGTGACACACGACACTATTCCGATCGGCGCGATTCCGTTACTGGCGAGCTCGAGCTCTGATTATCAGGATGCAGTGTTGCGTGTGGTAACGAGCGCCAATCAGGTATATCACGACTTTATCAAGAGTGACGAGGGTAAAGGTTTCAACGGACAGATTTGCCTCGTGGGGGACTCAGTAGGGTCAATTTTGACCTACGACGCCCTGTGTAGGACGATGCAGCACTCGAGACAAAGCAGCGAGAACAGTATTCTAGAGAGTAGCGGTCAGCAAGGTTACGACAACGGCGGAAACCTCGAAGATAGCAAGCATTTGTCCGCGCCTTCTCCCAGAAGAAGATCTTCAGGCACTAGGTAATTCACGCAGCTATTATGTTGATGAAACATTGTTTTCTTTTTTGTCATCAGTCTCCGTACAAAACAACTTTATTCATCTACAACTGAATTAACGTGTCATTTGCAGTGACAACGTGAGCCATAATAAGTTAGACTTCGAGGTGGGTGATTTCTTCACTTTCGGCAGTCCACTCGCCCTGGTTCTGGCTTACAGAAAGATCGCCACGTCCAACGACAAAAATAGTTTCATACCTAGGCCGTTGGTCAATCAAATGTACAATCTGTTTCATCCCACGGATCCGGTGGCCGCGAGATTGGAACCTTTGATCTCAGCTAGATTTTCGCAGATTCCGCCGGTTAACATTGCCCGATATCAAAACTATCCGCTTGGCAATGGTCAGCCTTATCACTTACGTAAGTATATATCTATTATTAGGTTATAGATAATAGATGTAAAAGTAAAACTTTTATACATGAATTTTCTTAGTTCATTAGTTTTTGTAAAGAGTTTGTTTATCAAGTAATTAAAATTTAATCTAGAAAAATTGCCGAGATATAGATTTTCACGCGTAGATGATAAATTGTAGCTGTGATAACAATGAGACAGATTGTACATTTAATTTTAGTGGAGACCATCCAGACTAATCCGCACGTGTTTGTTGACGGATTGAACATTCCCAATGTTCAACTGGCGCATTTAAGAAGACTATCCGATATATCGCTTCAAAGTACAATGTCGGGCATTATTGACAATGTTCCTTTACAGGTGATATCAGCCTGTAAGTAAAACATTTTACATTATTAAATAGAGTTTTTTTAAACAAGCAAGCAAGCTGAATTACGTGCAATTTTAAACGTATTGGAACTGTTTGAAACACGATCATTCTTGTTTCGTTTCTAGTGACACAAAAGTGGTGGGGCACCAAGAGACTAGATTATGCGCTGTACTGTCCAGAGGGTCTCGCTAATTTTCCTACAAACGCCTTGCCGCATCTCTTCCACGCTAGCTATTGGGAGTCTTCAGACGTAATCGCGTTCATTCTGAGGCAATTAGGTAGATTCGATTTACCGCTGCTCGGCAACGAGGAGAAAAATCTCACTTGCTTCCGTCCAGGTCAACCCAGAGAAAAGTGGACTAAAAAACGTACCTCCGTTAAACTTAAGGTTTATTCCTTCATCAATTCAAGCTTAATCACAAGTGTGAGCTATGCTCTGTTTGCTATATTAAATTAGTCTTAATATAGTCTGTATTTAATGTATTTCAGAACACTGCTGCCAATCACAGAGCGAATGACGTTATCGTGAGGGAAGGTGCACCCCAAATACTAGTTGCTAAGTTCATGTATACTCCTATTGATATGGTACCTTTAACAGGTAATAAACGAAATTTGTATGGAAGAAGAAATATTTTCAGATAATTCATATTGATTTTTATTGTTTAGTCGATGATAATTTCTCTAAATCGCGCGCACAAAGTGTTTTATATAACAGTAAATTAAAAATTAAAAAAACACGTTACACATAAAAGTCATAAATGTTTCGTCGCAGGTGAAAAAGTGGATATCCATATTATGAAGAATCCACCGGCAGGCGAGTGGACATACCTTTCTACCGAAGTAACTGATAAAAATGCTAGAATAATTTACAAGATACCGGATGACAAAGCACTAGGTTACGGACTGTATCCTGTAAAAATGATTGTAAGGTAATGTAATTTTGTTTGTAAGTAGTAATTTTTTAACAAAGAAAATTATGTTAACGCAAGTCACGTTCGCGTTCAACAGGGGAGATCATACATCTGTAGACTTTTTTATGGCTGTGATACCGCCGAAAACCGAATGCGTGGTTTTTAGTATAGACGGCTCCTTTGCCGCCAGTAGGTCAGTGAGTGGCAAAGATCCGAAAGTCTGGGCTGGTGCCGTCGACGTTGTTAGGTAACGTATTATTATTTAACATATGTTTTAATGTGAGAAATATTTGAAATCTTGAAACAGAACTATAAAGGAATATAATCAAATAAGTTTCTTCTGTTTTGTTGTTCGCACACAGGCATTGGCAAGAATTGGGTTACCTTATTATTTATATTACTGCGAGACCCGATATGCAACAGCAGACAGTAGTCTCTTGGCTATCACAACATAACTTTCCTCACGGTCTTGTTTCATTTGCTGACGGCCTGTCGAGGGATCCACTTGCCCACAAAGCTGCCTATTTGAATAAGCTTATAAAGGTTCGTAATAGTATACGAAGAAACTTAAAGAAAATATTTAAACAAATGTACGTGTAAATAAAGGAAGTAGATAAATATATACTTACATATAATCAATATTTTTAATAAGATGAATAATTGTTTACAATTACTATTTGTTGTAAAAATAATATTGTAGAGTGAATTAATTGACTGAATTAATTGTGTGCATGTGTGTGTGGTTATTCAGGAGCACGACATGATAATTCGTCAGGCTTACGGCAGCGAAAAAGATATTAGCGTGTACACGGCGATAAATCTCAAACCGAGTCAGATCTTCATCATTGGCAAGGTGTCCAAGAAGCATCAAGCTCAAGCGACAATACTGCACGACGGATATGCTGCTCACCTAAGCACTCTGCAGGCGCATGGAGGTTCGCGTCCTGCGCAGGGCAACGCGCGTATGGTAATTCCTAGAAGTCAGTTTGGTTTGCCGGGACAGAATGCTTCCCTGCGTCGACGTAGGTGAGTCGCAATGCGCATTTTTAATAAATTTCCCGATAAAAGATAATCTTCACGCTTCGCTAATGAATTTTATACATACGTATACATATATATATTTGTATATATGTATATATATACATATGCTATCGTTTGTTACGCTGAGAGCATCGAATTGGTGCATTTACTGTATCATAGGACCATCCATATAATCATGGTTATTTAATTTTTAATTGATCAAGATTAAAAAAAAGATTACTTTTGCTTACTTCGTATTATTATTTTTTGTATTTATTTTGATTAAAAGCTTTTTTGTAACAAATAATTATGTAAACATTGCAAAGCTTTTTTGGTTTTTTAAAATATAACACGGAGGTCGCGCGCGGATTGACGATAGCTTCAGCGCGCGACAAGCGTGTGTGTTCGTCTGTGTGTGTGTGAAAACGAGCACCGGCTATGTTCCAGTAACGAAACAGCGGTGAACTCCCCGGCGCGCAACAGCGTTTTAAAGCGGAAAATCTACCTTTCTCACATCTAACACACGCCTATAATCTACGTACAATTTACTTACTCACATTGGTAACTATCTATAATCGTTTACGCTTGATTTTCAGTCATAGACGCCGACTATATTCAATGTACTTTGTTATTATTACATACATCATTAAACACACAATCGGTTGTGAACTTTAAACGATAATAGCGCAACATTTGCTCGATTATGTAAAATACTCAGTTTTTGAAGACGACCTTGAAGAACGAAAGTCGGCGCTTATGCATTTTGCTTTTTCCCAAATCTTTCGCAGATGTCGCAGCATGATTTTCTTACTGATAGAAAGATTGCGCAAAATAACAAAATGAAACAATGCACAATAAGGCACTTAACAACTTTTATTCTGTGCTCACTTCTTCTATAAAATATATTAAATCTCTCTATCATTAATTAACGTGCGCTGCACCGTGGCCTCACCCCTATGCTGTTTAATCAATAAAGCGAGAGATTCGCCGACTTTGAATTACGCTGACCAGTCTCTTGATTGCAGGTACCTGCTATGAGGATATTGTCAGCGTAGTTAAATATCACTCTGTCTCTATCCCTCACTCCGGCGAAAGCTGTTGTCGCCACATCTCGAACTTATTGTTTGTCTATCGGCTAATACATAATGTCCAGGATTTGTGGTTATAATCCGCTCTAAGATCGCTCTCTAGATACAATTGGGAAGTAGAGTCGTTTTTGTAAAACACTCCCGAAACGAATCGATCTCACTTTAGCGACGAAGGTAAAAACAATCGTCGTCTCACGTTTCCGCTTCAAAAAACTTATTAGATGAGTGTTTTGTGTTTTACAAAATATGCTAGATCCACCACCTGAGCCTTTAACACGTCTATCTTTCTTAATAGTGATAGCGTCTAATTAAAAAAATTCAATTTTGCGGCAACTTTTTATACATCAGAGACATGAACGTATAAATGATTTGAGAACTTGCGCTGTATCATGATCAGAAAACGCGCATATTGTTTTTGACCCTCGGAGAACACACTGGGTCAATTTGACCCTGTTCGTCGACTTTGATCAAAATATTTTGCTTCAATTTTGCTTTTTTGTAACATATTTTTTACAATTGTTAATAATGTTAACGACACTTTAAAACTATATAGGCATATTTCAAACTGTTCAAAATATATCCGAAAATTTTTTCAAGCCAATTGAATAATTGCATTTTAAATGCTAGCATCTCAAAAAGTGGACAGGGTCAAATTGACCCAGATTGTTCTTCTTGATTGAAAAAATAGGTGTGTTCCCCGAGGGTTAATTGAATAGACAACATCAAATAATAATCACATTAAAATAGACATTTGCGAACTTAATATAAAATTCTGTGCGTATGTTCGATACGCAATAATAATAAATTAGAAAGATAGAGTTTTTTCGGTGGTAGATCATGCGTGTTGCTTGCATAAGAAGACTTTCAATAGCACGAATGTGAAGATGCGATAGATTGATCGAAGATATGACACCACATGCACGATTATTATAATATATATATATATATATAAATATATGTGAATGTGCAAGTTCCGAGAACACACGTATACGTGTATGCCGTGTGATCTCTCGTGCTAGAGACAAGACATGCCTAGCCTTTTCATCATCCCCGATCATGCATACCGCGCGCCGTATCGATCACGTTACATACACACATACGCGCTATGATAATCCCGTCGCGCTCTGAGCGGTATATACGTTCATAACATTGCATTTCATAGGTGGCGGAGAATTGCGAGACAAACGATAACGTAGTAACGTACGTTGATAAGAAAGCCAAGTACCAAGAATTGTTGAAAAAAGAATATTGAAATGTAAGATGGGATTTCAGACACTTCAATAAGATTGTTTTTTTAACACGTTTTTTTTTTATGTAGAAATTGATCACAGTTCTATAATTAATCGTTTATACTTAATTAGAAATTGTTCTATAAATTGCCTAAAATTGTTCTATAAATTACTTAGATCCCATAGTTCTTTTATTGTATTTAGAGAAAAATCGTTTTGTCTCGCCTTTTTGCTTTTTCACTTACTATAGTTCTGTTCATAGTACTGGCAGCAAGTGCGAAGAAACTCGACGAGTTTATCATATTATATAATCGTAGCTTCTATTAAACATTTTTTTAATGAATAATTTCAGATGCTGATATCCTGTGCTACACACACATGTGATCACAGATAGGTTTATATGTTATTTATTATAGAAACACAAAAATTAACATCTGCATAAATTTAACCCTAATCCTTTTAAATGTTTTTTTAGATGCTAATCCAGTAAATCCCTGACATTTATGTCCGACGCGATTTGTTATTAAAACGTTGCAAAACATCTGTGAAAATTCATGGAGTTTTATTCAACATTGTAAATTAAGAAAATAATATTAGGTTTGATTATTTTTTTTATTTTTATTTATTCTTTTTTCAATATAATGAGAAACGTATAAAATCAAGGAATGTTTAAAAAATTGATACTTTTAAACAAATGATACTTAAACACATTGATACTTTTAAATTAATAAAATGAAATAAATCCAACGCGAGAAATAACAGTTTAAATTATTGTACTTTTATGAAAAAAATATGCCATAGGTATCGCAAAATTTTAAATGCAAATATACACGTGGAAAATCGTTATTTTACACGTGTATATTTGCATTTAAAATTTTGCGATACCTATGGCATATTTTTTTATTTCACAAGGTTTTTATTATAAAATGTTACATACAAAAAATACTTTTTTAATTTCTCGCTGAGATCTTCACTAAAATAAACAACATTTCTTTCTCGGAGATAAAGAGAAGTGATAAAATTTTGTTCTGGAGTGCGTACTGACATTTTCACTTAGCAAAAAAAAATATAAAGAATTTTGTACGTTATAAAACAAAAAAAATAAAAAAATCGAAAATGAAGACAATGAAAATGTTGTAACTTACTTTAAAAATACAACCGTTTCTTTGTAAACGTAAGACATTTTTGTCCAAACATGACATTTGGCGACACACTGCTGTTAGATCTCGGTTTTTCCATTGTCAATTTCTCTCCATTATAACTTTTTTAAGGGAAGAGGATAGAAATTTCCACTAAGTTTTTAAGATATCTCAGTTTCAAAAATCGCTCGGACATTAATGCCTGGGGGGTTTACAGGATTAAAATTAACTTTTTTAACACATAGAAAAATAATGGATTGTATGAAATTATAACATTTATAGTTAGAAAAATGCTTGCCAGAGAGAGAGAGAAAGAGAGAGAGAGAGAGAGAAAGAAAGAGAGAGAGAGAAAGAGAGAAAGAGAATGGACTATACTCTTTAGGATAAAATAACAAAAGCTTTAAAAATTCAGGGATTGTCTTCGTTTAATCGTATGTGCCTTTCATCCCTCGTCATCCAAGGACAACAGATTTAAATAATTGTCTTGCTGTCATCCGCAGGGCGGACAAGTGTCTTCCGTCTGTCTATCTGATTCATTATTCATTAACGCTTCACAGAAATGTTATGTCATGCTTTCCAGCAGTACAATGTAAAACACCGCTTTCCCCCTCTGTGCTGTTTTTCATTCATCTGCTTTCAATGGCGGTCTATGTATACTTCACTTCGTAAGCGCGAGTTTAATTTCAATATATGCGAGGCACACTGTGTTTTCTACAGGATATACATTTAAAATGTGTTAAAAAAAAAAAAAAAAAAAAAAAACACGTAGTAATAGCTTTAATTGCGTTTTCTCTGATAAAGAAATTAAACGACTTTATAAATCTCGAAAAGTTTAAAAATACATTTTTAATACATTTTTCGTCATTTTAATTATAAAGAATCAAAAAGCTTTCAGTCAGCTTACATATTTCACGTATAAATTGTGTATAAAAAAAAAAAAAAAAAAGAGTGAAATATTTTCTCAGTAAATTCGACTTTGATTTATACACCGTAGTATCCATTCTACGTACATTGCAGTATATATCCTGTAAACATTTGTTTACATTATTTGTACATAGAATTTTTTGAGAAAAAAAAAAATGTACATTTGTCACAGCAACAATCTCATTACGAACGAAATAATGTGCATTGACAAATGCAACTGAAATTATTGTGTTTTCAGCCTAAGTGTGATAGAAGAGGAGTAAATGCATTATTGTGCTTCCATTCGAACACGATAAAACGGATAAGAAAGATATATCACTGCTGCTTATTGCACACTTTGCACAACACAGAAGCTAATTGCATTTTTTTTACCTCTGGGAGAGATATTCTCGTTTAATAATTCTATATATCGTGTTGATTTAAAATTTGGTCATTTGTTTGTTTGTTTTTTAGGAACATAAAAATCGAATTTATGAAATTGTTATGTTTCTTTTCTAATCTCGCTATGTTGTTTTTTCTAATCTGTATCTTACATCTGTATCTTACCCTGATTTCGATCACATTGACGGCATCAGAGAATAATTTGTAATCGATAATAATTTGCAATTCGTTTCTGTCGTACAATCGATAGATATTAATTAGACGAATTAGTTCCGAGAATGCAACATCTACAATTTTCAATATGTATTAATATTCATCTATAACAACATTGCATTTTATGTATTATCATTCTTGCTGGCCCGAATAACAATATGTTACCGAATGCGCTCTAACGATAAACTAAACGTTCATCGAGATAACTTCGGAAATGCGACGTTTAAATCTTTTTTGTTTTCTACCGACATTGTAATAATAATAACAATTATTATTATTACAATGAATTGGTGATGGGAGAATATTTTTTTTTTTTTTACGGTTAAAACACTTGTCTCGAAAAAAATTGATATCTTCGATGAGAAAAGATCTAAGCATGCTGACGTTATCTCGAGAAGAAAATTAGTGAATATTTATTAACAATTGCATTGATTGGCAGCTCTTTTAGGGCGGCAAAGCGTGCGATTTCTCAGCCACCCCTAGGCAAGACATCTTTCCTGTTGGAACGGTCCACGAGTGTGGGACCTTCCGTCACATCCGCATCAAGCAACGTTCAACAATCAGCAAGAACCGAGAAACTCTGACGATTTGCACGCTGCCGCTCGTTCTTCGAGTCTCGGCGGTAGCTCGCGAACAGAAAACACAATCATGATTTTTGATTTTGTATATTTGATAATAAAACAATTCCTTTTTCTCTCTTTTTTGTAGAATAATTATATTTTATAATAATCTTGTAGAATTTTACGGCACACACATGATGGATGATTTCACACACAGACACACTCTCATACACACACATGGTATAAGAATTTCATGAATTCAGTATATAATATACTTGACATTCTATTTATTATGATAGATTTTTAATGACATGAATGGTTGCTGTCTCATTTCTCGTATTGTAAAAGTCTTTCTCTTTCTTGTTATTGAACATTCTTGATTTCACACAAAACGATCGTTTTGTTCCTAAAAAAAAATGTTCCTAAAACACTTCTTTTTGAAATTTAGTCATTTTATCTACTGATATATATTAGATCTGAAAAGTCCTTTTTATTCGGGTTTCTGGATACGTATGAGATTTTGTGCGTATGTTATAGACTCTTGAGTCTACGTTTACAAGTCCTGCATTTTTTAGATGTTTAGTTTTCCGTGAGACATTTGTACAGCTCCTGTTATACAATTTACATTGTGTTGTGAAACAAAACAAACTACGTCCCTCTGTATTATTCCAAATATGAATAATTCATATACTTTCGTGTACACCACTTCCATATATATATATTAGTTCTATGTATTTTCTTTGTAGAGTTATTTTCCGTCAGTTTTGTTATATCGCGATTTACCAGATTACTCATTGTATGTGTGCTTATACGTTATAGAAACAAAAAAACAATTTTAAATATCTCTTTTTTCTCTCATTTAGTCTGGATGTATAATGTTACTTGTGTGAGCAATGTGCAAAGATAGAAATTATGACATTTTAATAGAAGATTTTGTTTAGCGGAATAATGCGCCAAGAAAGAGAAAAATTGTTAAAACTGTTACCTGAGCCTCCCTGTTATTAAATAAGGAGAAGTAATGTTGTCTGTGACGCTTAGAAATAATTAATTAGTGTAAGATCTGTTAGTACACTCTACTCATTGCCAAATGTTTATAGACAGATGTAATACGTAATGCTCTGCAAGGTCTGCGCTACAAGTTCTTTCAGCGCCACTTTTTCACGTGAGATAAGCATATCGGCGGTAAGAAAAAGACACAGGGTGAAAAATTAAGGAGAATATAAGAAGAAACGGTATTTGAAAAACAAGTATTTTGCAGATGACACATTGTCGCGTACAATCTAGCGTTTTGACGTACTTGTTACACACAATCACGCGATTTTTTTATTCGTTCCAGAAAGATTAACATTTTATCGTGATAATGATACATACATGTATTATCGTCTATCTGCGAACACACTCTCTCAGATCCGAAGAAACGCTCGGTATTTTATTACATTGACTGACAAATCTAAAATATTTGTACTGAAACAAAATAAATGACAGTATTAATAATAATTTATAAAACATGAACGGAATAATGTTACTTTAGAGAGAAAGTGAGAAGACAATTATTTTAGATTATCTCCGAACAAAGATGTGTATATATAATGTATACATATATATATACACAAACGTATGTTTTCATTCATTTTTCTTTGTATATATGTATAATGGGACGGTATTTGAAAAATGTTTCTGAACAAAAAAACTAACGCGTATATGTAGAAGTACTCGCGCGTTCAACTGTTTCAAACTTAACGGAATGAGCGTGTCACGATTACAAGACGAAGCATCGGTAACACATAGACGACAAGCGGTACAAAAACAAAGTTACTTCCCTCTTATTACATAGTAACGTAAAGCTATAGAGTATAGGTGATGTAAATACGGTAGACGCTGTGTAAATAATTATGTTGTTTGTGGATAATGTTAGAGGGAGGGGCAAGATCATATATTACATGACTAGAACTGCTAGTAGGGTGCTTCGTCGATGAAAGAGACAAGTGTGTGAGTCGGGGATGAAACGACGTGATAAACAAGAACGCGGTAAATATAGAAAATTTTATTTTTCCGATTCAACGCAAATTGCTACTTTCAAGAGTTGAAAAGTTTGCGAATTTTGCAACAACATTCCGCAAAAACAAAAAGAAAACAAACCTTTATAAGATTCGTCTCAGCTCCGAATCGTATTACCGACTTAAAGGGAATAGAAGAGACATAATCAACGGTGTTTTTATTACGCTTAAATCTGTCACAATCAACGCTAAAAAGTGATAAAAATTTTTCTATAAGCATGATTCGAAGTACATGGTGTCCTAAAAATTTTATACAACATAAATACAATTCACGCAGAGAAATTTGTATCAACGATCTTGTAGGTTTTTAAACGTGTTTTGGTTGTATAGGTTGCAAATTTATATTTTGATTTTAAATTGCGATTACAGAATCTTTTGAAGCACGTTGTTTTAATTTAGAACCATATTTAGAACGTATTTACAACAGAATGGGGTAAATATCATATTTTTATACATTTATATTTATTATTATCGTTAGAGAGAAAGTAACACATCGATCTTTTGTAAAGATTAAATAACGACTGCAAAAAATTGCGTTAAAATTTTATACATTGAACACACACACACACACACACACATAAATTATACATATAAAAATAATAAAAAGCGATAAATATATACATATAAGTCCGCCTTGCTATTCAATCTCTATCGCTGTCGGGACACTCTGTAAAATCGAATCAAGCACGACGAAGGAGACGGAGATTAATTTGTTGCCACTATGTGTGTCTCTCTAGATAATCTATTTGCTAAATTTGCCATGTTAATCTCCCGATCCTGACACGAAAGAGAAAGCATTACGTATTGCTCAAATTGCTATATTAGCTGTGGTGCTTGCATTACGCAAGTTGATATCATCAGTAATACTGACTGTTTGTATATTGTTGTAATATGGCACGAGAATAGTTCTATATATATATATATATACAAACGTCTAAAACTTTAAATATATAAATGAAAAAAATATATATATACACACACATATATATATATATATATTGTTACAAGTTGCGAACTTGGGAATATAAATGAATATGAATACAATATGTGCGTATGTGTTTTCTTGCGAGGTGCTGCAAAGTCCTGCACATATTGGAAAGAAGATCTATAATCTTTTATTCAATTCAGCTGTTATTGATTTTTTTTTTTCGAGAAAGTTTACATATTACATTAGCACAGAAATTCTGAGTTTTTTTTTAATTTTAATAAGCCGTTACGCCGTACTCTTTCTCTATGAGAATCGCCCGAAGACAAAAAAAGAAAACACCAAGAAGATTACTTTAGGATTATTTGCGAAAGATGTTAGAGAAAGAGATTTTCTTTTTTTAAATGTATACTTATATATTTTACTACTTAAATGTTTTTATAAATGTTATTTATTTTAAATGTATACAGTATACAGTATATATATATATAATTGCGCTTTTTTAATTTAAACTATGTAATTTAAACTATGTAATTATAATCAATTAGCTTATATAAGCAAATCGATTGATATTGTTTTTAATTAACACTAATTAGAGCGACTCGTGGTTTGTTTGATTTTTTTTTATTGAAGCAAGAGATTATAGGTATTCGGATTCTTTCTTCTAAAATAGCAACTCAGCGGGAAGTATTTCTGTCACGAGAATTCTCGAAGATAGTAATACCTTTGTGCACTTCCGTGGTTTGGAACGTCTAAACAAACCGTAAAAAAAAAAAAAAAACGTCTAAAACAAAAACTAAATGTGTTCCTTCTTACACTCAAATTCGCATGAAAGGGTGAAAAAAAAAGGAAAGATCCATTTTAGGCTAGTGTCAAAAAAGAATAAAAAGAATTAATGTTAGTTAAAGATATAAACAAGTTTATATATTATAATAACAATTGACAAAAAAATTTGTCTTAAGAAACTGCTCAGAAGTAGTAAAGCTAATTGATTATAATGACAGTTAGTGTGTTGCAATAAAAAAAAATCTAATATATATAATTAACCCTTTCCCGTAGAGATTATTTGGCAAAACGTGGGCCAAAGTGGAAAATGAAATTTTTCGCGAAACAAGCAAAAATGACATTCTTTTTTCTTTATTTTTTTTTTTTCATGTTTGGCCCGTAATCAGCACGAGTCTGACTCGTTATTACACGGAAAAGGATTAATCAAAATTTGTTGTTACTATGGTTATAATCTCATTGATGCGTATAAAAAGCTGGCGAAAAGAGAAAAAAATAATGATAAATTGAATCACTTTGATCGGCTGAATGAAACGTCGTCTACAGTACACATGATTTGACAAACACTATAGTAGATACATAAGCGACAACAACGGTAGTACCTTCAGTCGTATGGGCGGCACCTTTGGTCACGAGCGCACAGGCGCATATATACAGAGATATTTTACTTATATATATATATATATATGTATGTATATATATATATATACATAATAAATGAACGATCAGTGTACTGACGAGAGTTATATTTTTGTTAGCGTAACGTAAATGAAGACGTATTGTAATAAACACTAACTGGAAATCAATTGTTTTGTATTACGCGCTACCGCTCTAGTGTGTAAACGATTGTTTTATATATATAAATATGTATATAATAATAATGGTTCACTATTGGTTCGACCGGTTTTGTTAAAATCGAACCTGCTGCAGCGAGACACTCGTTTCTTTTCCTAGATAAGAGAGATAAGGAAGATTATAACGCTTAGCGGACACACAAAAAACCTTGTATTCTATTTCCTTCTCTCATTGAATATTATAATAAATGATAAATCATTGTGGTTTAAATGTATCTTTATTCTATTTACTTTCTCTCTCTTTCGCTCTCACATATAATAATTTCGTTGTAACAATTTCTAAGACAAGTGTTATATAAAATTGTATGCGTGTGTGTAAATATATAAAATATACATATATATATATATGATATAAATTGATTGACACAAAAACAGAAACATATAATAAATAAATATGAGTATATACCTGGATATACATATACAAGGTGATTCAGAATAACCCGTTATCCTTGAAAATACATATTTTTGACTAGATTCTAAGACAACTTTTTATTTGGCAAAATTTTGTCTGAAGCTTACTTTTTGAGTTATTAATAAAAATAGTTGAGACTTCCCAAGCAACCAGCTGACGTTGTAATGACGTAAATATACGTGATTTTTGTCACTAACTGGTGATTATGACCTAAATTTGACGTTATTTTGAACGTCATAACAATGACGTCAGTATATACGTCACACATATACGTCATATATGATGTAACTATTGGTCTTTGGAGTAACGTCAGATGAAATAAGTGAGTAAGACGTCAT